TCAGAACACAGATCAACAGGAACTTAATCACATCCGAAATAAACAAGGTTGAATGGAAGTAGGAATTAAAATAAGAAGAATGGTACTTAATTTATAGATACATATCCACTTTACCGTTATAAATATTATCAGAAAGGGATTTTGTGGAGATTGTAATAGTTTAGTAGTTGGATTCATGAGTCACTTAAAGCTATACCACCGTGGAAAACCTGAAAGTACTGGACGACTGTTTCGTCCTATTGTGGGATCCCTTAGCAGTGCGCATCCGACAATAAAAGCATCTCACATGGTATTGATTAATTCAACAGTGATAATGTACTTTTATCAGTTCGTTGTTTGTTTGTTCAAATTAGTACTGAAGACTATTTTTGTCATTCAGCTGATTTTCATGCCATCATTCAATAAACAATTTTAATTTTAAATGGTCTGTTCCCAAATACCTTATTATTTTCTTGTTTGTTTCTTTTTTTAGGCCAGAAATCTAAATATTAATGAAGATCTCGATCCCTTAGATGTGGAAATAAGCTATGTCCTACCATTAAGTAATGATCTCTAACTCCTGGAAATTGTTAACAAAGCTGCAAATATACTTAAATATTATTTCAGAAGTAGAAAAATATAACAAAATATCTTATGATCATTTGCAGACCAACGTTTGATACATTACAATTATTATTGCGATATGTACAACGTGGATAATCTAGTCTTTTAAAGTACACATTATTCAAATAAACTTTTCCATACTGGTATCAGAAGGGGTTTTGTGGAGATTGTAGTAGTTTCAATAGTTGAGATCATGAGTCGATTTAAGCTAGACAACCATGGACAACCTGGAAGCACTGGACGGCCGCTTTGTCCTATTATGGAACTCCTCAGCAGTGCACACCCACGACCCCGCCTCACGAGATCCGAACCCAGTCTCGCGCGTGAGCGCTTAACCACTAGACCACTGAACCGGCATCCAACAGTGTTAATGTTTAACTTCAACTAATCCACGAAATTGAGCAACACATTCACCATTGTCATCAGTGAGCTACTATCTCACAACTGACCCGGTTGCTTAGATAACCTCTGAGAATCTTAAGTACAATCGTAAATTCCTTTGCATACTATGGTAGACCTTAAAAATCTATGGGACATGTTCATTGCTTCAATAAGCGTCATCATAGAATAGATTTCAATACACATTTTCAACAAACACTAAATTTTCTAGGATGAATGAGTATTTAACAACTTTCTATATTTATTTATCGATTTTCCTTATAGCTCATACTAACCACACCTCATAACATAAAATCAGTTAAGTATACAGGGGGTAAGGATGTTTTAGAATCCGTACATTCGAATCTGCATACATAAGTAGAATAAATTGTAAGTGTTATAACTTGTGGCTTTGTGCCCCAATCAATGCACAACGTATTGATCTCACCAACTGGAGAACAGGGAATTATCGACCGAACCAATGACGCATAAAACAAGTACGAGCAGCCTGGAGTCCTTATCGGTCCTGCTTTTCTGCTAGCTCTGCCTGTTAATTCCAGAACACCAATCTCAGCCTCGCGATATGAATCACGTATTTCAGACATACTGGGTTTAAATACAAACCAAACGGACCACTTCGTACCATAAAATAGAAAGTAACATTTGTACAAGATCTAGCCAAAAAGTGGCTGTGAATGTGGGAGGTAGTAATTGATAGACTGGGCATAACTCAAGAATGGTAAATCGTATAATAATAGTTCATAGGTCAAAGTAAAGCTTATAATAAGAGAAACACGAATATGAACAGTTTAGATTTTTAACAATTATACGATAAAAATATACGTATAGTATTAGTCCAGAAAGAGATCCCAACAGCCACCATTTATTATTCTCATCGGGAAATAACGGTACGCTTTGGCATGTAGACACCGTTATGTGTGATCGATAAACGAACCCACCAATGACAACATTAGACGCCCACCACCACACCAACTCTCTTTGACCTTGCGTAACGATTCCTTGTTTATTAACCAACCATAAATTTTGTTTGTCATAAACGATACTAGGTTTGTTGACTCATTTTTCTTATCCTCTAGTGACTGTTCAGTGTATTAATTATGACTCTTCATCCCTGTTTAGTAAACTGAAATGATTTACGTTTTAGAAACAGATAAAGTTTATCAAGCCAAATAGCGTAGTTGTTCTGACTTCGTTTAAGTAAGGAGGCACCAAATACATATGTGCCACACAAATCTCATTTGATATGTGTGAGGGCTGTGATACTGCCCGGGTGCCCAAACCAAACCAGGTGGTTTTCTTAGGGGGCCACACCCGGAGCCTTTGACCTGAAGGTCTGATCCACAAGGCAGTGGAACATCGTAAGGAGATGCAGTCCCATGGTAGCCGGTGACCAACGATTGGTTCATACGCCATTTGTTCCTTCAGGATACTTGAGCCCATGTGCACCATTGATTCGGGATCCGGCTAAAGCGCCGGACATTCGTTTTTCGTCCTCTCATTTTCGTAAACAACACCCTCGCCACGAGAAGGCAGTGAGTAGGACTTCCCTGGCAGAGGTTCTGCGCTCAACAGTTTGGGAGTAGTTTAGAATTCTGTCTTAGGAAATTACTTCCTCGAAAGTTTCGAATGGTAAAATCGATATGCCTAATGAAATGACTTTCAATGAGTACTATAATTCTGATGAGATTCTGTAGTTATCACCTCCTCGTCTGTGAGATTATGACGAGGACCAACTTGAAAGAGATGAACTCAGAACCAAATGCCTGACAGAATTAGTGTTAGCCAAGTTACGTGTAACCCAGTTGCAGAAAGAAATTGCACGTTCCGGTCAATCAGTGGACGACAATGAGAATGCGATACTAGAAATTTTGTATTTACCAAAGAGAGAAGATTCGACGGTACACTAATAAATTATTGGGATTTTATTAGAAACTTCGAAGCATATATTGGATTTATAGCTAAGTTGAATTACTTAATCTAGTATTGTGACGGAGGATCGAGAGCCGCTATCCTTCATTGTACTATGCTAGAACCGGAGGTAGGTTATCGTCAAGTTTTAAAGCCTTCGGAGGAAGCGTTTGATCAAAGACACGTAGCACACACATTTATTGACAACTACTGAAATTACCAACTCATGTTCAACAAGAGTGGATAAAGGAGCTCATAAGATTATTAAGAGAGGTTGAGAGCCTTTGTTTGGCTATCTTACTGAGTTTGCTAAGGAACAGCTTGATATGACTAATACCAGATATGGCCTACTTGTTAACCGTGGTAGTAATAGTGACCATAGAGATGTTGGTGTCGTAAAGGGAAAATCTAGTGCAAATAACAATACAGTAAGGATATCCCATACAAGTACTGGTAATAACAATATCCCCTTACATGACGGCTATGGTTACCGTATTTCATCTTGCTTGAAGTGTTCAGAGAATCATTCTGTAGATCAGTGCCAGAAGTTTGAAGATAAGGATGTTAGTGAAAGGAAAGGATTTGTTCTTAAGCACAAGTTGTGTGAAGTTTGTTTAAAGACGAACCATGTAACGGAAAATTGTCGGTCACCAAGATCATACTTGGTTGAAGGATGCGGTTGGTGGTACCATACTCTGCTTCATATGAAGTGGGGGGATGGATGAACACTTGAGGATGTTCATGTCATTGCTCATCAGTGTAGAGAAACAGAAGATAGAGCTGTAAAGCACAAAAATCACGCTCGGGAAGGAGTCGCGTTAGCTATAATCCCTATACTATTAAATCATGGCAAGGAGGTCATTGGGACCCGCGCCTTTTTAGATAGTGGAGCAGATACTTCTTTCATTGTAGATGATCTGGCCAATGAGCTAGGCCTCGATGGAAAACCTAAAATAGTATACTAGAAGACTCGTGATAGTAAATCGTCGTTGGTACGCAATGAGGTCGATATAGAACTGCATTCGTTAGATTTTTCGTCGTCTGTTTAGATCCAGAAAGTGTTGACGGCTGAAAGACTACTGTCATTATACAGAACTGTGCTAACGGCATATCAGGTAGCGTCCTGGTCCACCTTAAAGGACACAAATTTTCCAGGAGTAGAAAATGAGAACGTTAAGTTTTTAATTGGGTGTAACTCACTAGGCGTACACGAGACGAAGAAGATAGGGACTGGCGAATGAACCGTTTGTTACATAAGCCTACTCAGAGGGCATTATTTTTGCGTGATCGTGAAAAGGAGTCATTAAATCGATTAACAGCGCCGTTCTTTCTCACTTGGTTGATAGTGAACATCAAATTAAAATAGATGAAGGTTTCTCTGTTTTATATCAAGTTCCAGTCGATCTACCTAAAGGAACTAGATTACGGCTCCTCTACACAGATGAGGCCATCTGGATCAATTTAAGAAAATCGGACTTATGTATCTAGAAGTGATATATCCAACCTCTATGTTTACTTTGGTCCACGACTGGAGCACCAGATACCTAAACTGTGTATAACAGACCTCTTATTATTACCTCGTATTATTACATATTATATACATACGACGTTATTGTAATTTTATTTGTTACCTCAATTAACTAGGCGGAATTCTCCTACTATGCATTTTATTCACATGGCATATTATATTACTATCATAGTAATGATAATTTGACACTACTACGAATCATTCTGACCTTTATTAAATAACCTTTCCAATTTACAAGTAACACTTTTTCGAAATGTTTATGACGTAACAGATGCAAACGTTCACCATTTTCAAAACAACATTGTCAAATTCATCATGAAGAGTCATAACTTTCCTAAATGAAGACCTTCTAACTCAAAGGGCAGAGTTTAAATAGTTTGAATTATTTTTCTGGTAAGTGTTTTTTAGCGGGTTAGTTTTCTACGGTATGGGGTCAATAACTCCATGCCGAACCCTCCTCATTTATCGCTTGGGATCAGCAGTGGCCCCAGAGGGGCTCCAGATCGTTAAAATTCATGATTAACGTCGCGTGCTGATCTTATATTCAAAAGACTGAGCACATAGTATCATTAGTATTGTATTGTAGTGTCGATTTTAAAATTTGTTTTCACTCAGATATATTACCCATGCTAATAGATTAGATTTAGTCAGCCTACTAATTTTGAAAACTCTAAAAGTCATTTGAAATTTATTTATGAAAACAAAAGGAATGAGAGTTGGACAATAATAATAATGATTTTTGGTGATACGTAAAAAAGAAACAATGAAAATATATATTAAGAAGTTTTCGAGAAACCGACGACTTATGCTGTTATTCACTTTATATAGTACTGATTATAACTGTTAGTATTATTAGAAGTAGTGATGGTGTGTCCATGATTCCTCGTGTAATTTTGTGCACATTTTACGAACTGGCATGATCTTCAGTTTCTTCTACAAGGATATCATCAGTTTGTTGTTTCCAAAATGCTCGATGTATAAAAACTTGTCTAGGTAGCTGAGGAAAATCAAAATATGGGGATGGGGAAGGAAATGGGAATAAAACATGTCAGTAGGTTATTAAAGTCATTGACTATTTTATAACTTACGCTGCAGAGTATTTTTGATGAGAAAATGTAGGTAGTATTACTAGACGTCAATCAAAACATGTATAGCTCCAAGATAAGTCAGTGAATACATATGTACTTAGTTGGTAAGTATACTGACACAGACACGTAAAATATTCCTCTTTTTAATAGTCTAAAATTGATAATCAGCTCTGAACATTGATCTAAATAGTTTCATTATGTACTAACCATCTGCATAGATAAGTAACAACGTTTATAAAGAGTTAGCTTGAAGGAGTTTTGTGTGGTTTGATTCTTAAATTGTATCGGTTACCGATTGCCCTCAGTTGGGCTACTATTGAAACTCAAGGAGTAATAAGTGCCTGTTTTAACCTACTACGAGAATCTTGAGCAGCGTATATCAATGAGTCCTTCAGAAAAGTTGAAAATAGGATCCTCGAATTTCTCGGCAAACACTTAGCTTTTAGAAATAATGGTTCAGCATCCAAAGGTGTAATTCTCAATTCAACCAATTCGTGGTAAATAGTTGAACTATATCGGTCACGACTTCTACTAGATCTTCAGAAACACGGTTAGTAAGCTGGTTATTACAATCTTGTTGAATGAACCTAAATACTTTTGGTTCAATCCTAGGAGCAGTCATGAATATTCACTATCATAGAGTCCCGTACAAGGACGAAACAAATGTTCAGTGATTGTTAATTTTCAATGATACTCTAAATCAGATCAATTACAAACAAATTAAACCCGTATTACACTTTATTGTTATAATTACTACTAATGATAATAACATTGTTGATAAAAACTTACACGATGGAATTGTCTCATACTTGCAGTTCTATACCATTGTATGCCTTTATATAAAACCAATGATATAAATCCACATATAATTAGAATGGATATAGTTATCAATACAAAAATGTAACTGTTCAGTTTGTAAATATGCTGAAACAAGAATATCAAGGATAGAAAGAAAGAAAGAATGGGGTTAGTAATTATATTGAAGAGTTTTAATTCTGTTCCCTATTCAAATTATTATAACTATTTTTATGATTAATATTTAACAGAATACAGGATTCAGTAGATAGAACCATAGATTATAACTATTAGTGTAATTTACGACGCTCATTTCATCGTACTTGGGGATGTATATGCCTAAAATCTGACGAGTCTCAAATAGGACTAAACGGAAATCCTGAATTCCTTTGATAGCCATAATTCATTTATTCTAAAATCTTAGGATACAATGACAATATCAAAACAATCCGTACATGATGAACGCATATCAAGAGTGATTGATCAAAATTCAGTTCCAAATATGATCCGTAGGATTATTCAAACATTAACTGATGATGATATAAATAGGCACGCGTTGAGCAGTATGTACACAACTGATTTCAGGGTATGAAAACTAGATCTTATTTGGTTCAGTTTGATCAATAGAAAGTCCTGGATCTAGGTTTTGCGTTATTTAACAATTATCTAATTAGTTTATTTGTATTATTTTTGGAAAATTTTATCTCCGTGATATTCGCTTTCATATCATTCACTGCCTCAGTCTTCGAAATTATTTTCTCATGTAGGGCTGAGGTATTTACGGTGATTAATTTACATTCTCGTTATTATCTTGATGATTGTAATCATATCTAGTTAGCATGAAACTTAGATCAAAGATTTCTTCCTCTGATCAAATTCAACCAGTTGTACATAAAAAAAAGGGCTGTGATCATTTTGATTTGATCAATAAAAGTCGATCAGCACTAAAGACTAGATTTTATTAACAAGTCCTGTAAGTTTGTGTTAAGTACTTTCGATTGTCCCCACCCGTGTTCTGTTCACTACAGTAGTACAGGGTATGAGAATAACTCATTTCAACTATTTTATAAGCAAACATGATAAAAGTATATTAAACTGACGGGATTGAGCTCACCGATCGCAATTAAGATGGTACCTTGCGGATTTTCATGTGACAAGAACAGCATAGCGCAACATTGCTTGTGGGCTATTGTTAATGAAGTGAAAACTGGTGATATTTAGTTTCCAAACTGTTTGAAATTGGTTTCCTTAATTACATACTACGCAACCAAACGGTGAAGATGACATGGTGAACAGTGTTTCTTGACTGATGACTGACTGATTGATTGATTACGGTGAATATTTTTTGTCAGCCTACATTCTTTTAATATACATTTCATTATTTGAATAGAATGTTACTCTAGATTCTAAGTTATGTCGAAGTCAAACAGTCATATTTGATGAATCTATTCTATGTAAATACTGATATCTTAAATTGAATATAATGTGTGTTCAGTCAATTAATTGCGGTCTGCTTGAACATACGGGCTATCTGTTCCTACCATCTAGACATTTCAACATGTTATTTAATTTTGTTTGTTTTAATACATTATTATGACTATTAATCGTATAATCTATTCAGGTACGTTTCTGAAAACTGTACAACCTTTCGTTGTACAAGTTACAAAATGCTGGCAATATGCAGCGAAAAGAATGTACATTATTTAGATGTCGATTTACTGGACTGCTCACTTCTAACTGGCGACTATTCAATATGTATTCGTCAGGATCAACCAAGAAGTAAGAAACGGAAACTTGTTGAAATACTTCGTGCTGAGAATTCTATATTGTACCAAAAAATATAATATTTAATAAAGCTAATAATAATATGATATATATATTATATTATATTATATTATAGTATAGTATAGTATAGTATAGTATAGTATAGTATAGTATAGTATAGTATAGTATAGTATAGTATAGTATAGTATAGTATAGTATAGTATAGTATAGTATAGTATAGTATAGTATAGTATAGTATAGTATAGTATAGTATAGTATAGTATAGTATAGTATAGTATAGTATAGTATAGTATAGAAGAGTTCACAAAATAAAACGTTTTCGTTATATTTAATCAAAACCAGAAGTCATTCCATTTTTCAAATCAGTTCAGTTTTTTTAACATCCAGTATTCAAAATTCAACACTTCGAACTTACCACTGTACGTTTTAATGGATTGGATAAATAGTATAATTCACCATTGACAAATTTCACAGTTTCAAATTGAGCTAGGTGACCATCGATCATAAGTGTACCATTCTGTTATAAAAAAACACACAAGCATCACAGATATTTTTACTCAATCAATTTAACTACTTACGAGTAGTTTCATAAAATAGACAAGTTTTTAGACATTTGATTGATTCACAAAATAAAAAATATTCGTAACATGGTGAATGTATTTATCTAACTGACCTATAAAAGAATTGGGGTTGATAAAAACATAGTTTCATAGGAGCCACACAAAAAATTGTGACATTTAGTTAACCAACTCAACTCTTTATTAATAAAGAACTAATTAATACGTTGATACGCACAACTTGGACAAAATCAGTGATATATCTTACCACGACATTTAGAGTTTATTCAATCATTCAAGGCTATCTTATAGTCTAATAGGTTAATATGAGCAAAAACAATTCATTCATATTAACCAGTAGCATTTGGAATACGGATTAGGCTAAAAGGTGCTTTCTAAATAGACGGATTATGATATTATTTCATCGAGTTTTTCTTAACAGTATTCTAGTGTCGATGATATATAGTTCAGTCAGTATATGTGTATAACATTGAGTCTATGAAACTAAATGTCGATATTAAATATTTTATATGAGATCATTTTGGCCCAAATTTCTTTTGATATATGTCAATTTCAGTAAATCAATAAACTGAAGTGTAATTATTTGTGATTCATATTGAATGAATTACTGGAAATCAAACAAAAACTAAACAATTTATAGAGATTTTAATAGTTGAGATCATGAGATAGACCACCATGGAAAGCCTGGAAGCACTGGACGACCATTTCGTCCCACTGTGGGACTCCTCGGTAGTGCACATCCACGGTCCCGCCTCGCGAGATTCGAACCCAGCACCGTTCGCTCCGAATTCCATCGCATCAACTGCTAAGTTACTGGGTCCAGGTAGCCATTGGCTTGTGCAATGAGATGAACTTTATATTCATTTTCGTATTGTTTGTTTGAATCTTCCGATTGATGTTCAGGACTGCAATTGATCAGTACAATGTACTCATTGGATTAAATGACTTGTTCTAACTGTTCAGTGTATTTGATAATGAAATATTCAATTACCTTATAATAACTGTGAACGGTTTTAATACTCGGTAATCACCATCTATTAGAATTTTGAACCAAAAGATACAGAGAGAAATAGTCCTTTCAAAGTTATGAATAGTTCTAGTTTAATAAATACTGTATAGAATACTCCGAGGATTAATTCTATTCAAATCAGTTGTATATAAAATTAGTCAGTAGATTAAATGATACCTTTCAATCAATAAACCTTGCTTGTGTTATATAGATAACTATTATTTGGAATATAAATCAGATTTACTTTGTATATATCAAATCTATTACGTCACTTACCATGGGATATACTTCAATCACAGTATTATTTTCGGTGATTAACTTAATCGGTGATTGAACTGTAGCATATTTAAGTTCATTTATAGTCAAGGGTTTTGATCGTACAACTACGTGCTCTTTAACATCTGTGCAACTTCGAATTATCTGTAAAAAAAATAAACAATAATGAAATACAAGTGTGTTATTTTCATTTGTGCTATCAAACCTAAAATGCCATGCCTTATATTTCACTTTTTGTTCAATATATATATTACTATTTATTATTAGTCAGTAGTTTAAGTTGTATTTAGTCATTTATATTTCTCTGAACTACACCAAATGGCATCAACTTTGTTGTCATTTAACATTTATCTTACTTTGTTGTTTCTCTCTTAGTTTAACCCCCATAAGCGTTCTAATCTTTAAAAAAATTTTCCACAACTAAGGCTTTTCTCTGCTTACTCTCACCCTTTCTTTTTCTCCTGGTGATTGACTGGATCATGAAGACGTCGACATCTGAAGGGAAACGCGGGATACAGTGGACATTTAGGATGCAGTTGGACGATCTAGACTTCGCAGATGATCTGGCCCTTCTATCCCAAACGCAACAACAAATTCAGGAGAAAACGACCAGTGTAGCAGCAGCCTCAGCAGCAGTAGGTCTCAATATACACAAAGGGAAAAGCAAGAATCTCCGATACAACACAGCATGCACCAATCCAATCACAATTGACGGAGAAGATTTGGAAGATGTCAAAACCTTTACATATTTGGGCAGCATTATTGATGAACAGGGTGGATCTGATACAGATGTGAAGGCGCGGATTGGCAAAGCAAGAACAGCATATTTACAACTGAGGAACATCTGGAACTCAAAGCAACTGTCAACGAACACCAAGGTCAGGATTTTCAATACAAATGTCAAGACAGTTCTACTGTATGGGGCAGAAACCTGGAGAACTACGAAAGCCATCATCCAAAAAATACAAGTATTTACTAACAGTTGTCTACGCGAAATACTTCGGATCTGTTAGCCAAACACCATTAGCAACAACCAGCTGTGGGAAAGAACAAACCAGATCCCAGCGGAGGAAGAAATCAGGAAGAAGCTCTGGAAGTGGATAGGACACATATTGAGGAAAGCACCCAACTGCGTCACAAGACAGGCCCTCACATGGAATCCTCAAGGTCGAAGGAAAAGAGGAAGACCAAAGAACACATTATTCCGAGAATGGAGATAGAGGGGAGAAAAATGAACAAGAATTGAATGGAATTAGAAAAGAAGGCCCAGGAGAGAGTGAGTTGGAGAATGCTGGTCTGCGGCTTATGTTCCATTAGGAGTTACAGGAGTAAGTAAGTAAGTAAGTAAGTAAGTAAGGCTTTTATCTTCTTTAAACTTATTATCTAATCGGTTAGTTCATGACTTGAGTTTCGTGAATTCTTAGTAATTCATTCTATCAAAGATAGAAAACTATTAAGTGTAATTTCATAGCTTTAAAAGAGGATTTCATCTGAAATTAAAATCGAAAGTAAGGATAAAGTGCTATAAACTATAAATCCCTGTGCGAGATATTTTGTACTAGGTTTAAAAAATTCAGTTGCTCTCAGCATGAACTCGATTTTAGATTGAATGAAAGATATTCCAATTATGATGGGATAGATATAATACTAACAATCATCCAGTGAGTTTAATTCGAACAGTTAAAATGTTTCAATGCTTGATAATCTGTGTTAATCACTTAATGGTTATCATGTGATATGTCACAATTAATAAATCAATGTATTAATACAACGATATGGTTAATGAATTATTCATCTGTTATTTGGTTTGGTATCACTTTTATCAATCAGTTATGTAGAAATTGCAACATAGTCGATAGCATTCGATGTGCACTAAATAAGGACTTGACACGCATGACATTGATCACCACTACCAAGTGACCAATCAATTGTGATTACATGTCAGTCCTACAGGAGGTCAGTCGCGGCTCGGATAGCTCAGTGGTAACGTCTCTGACTGTGAAGCTGCGTGACACGGGATCGAATCTTCCAGGGAGCACCAGTTCCCTCAAGATTACAGGTACACCTTGCTGACGAGTGCCAAGTAGCACGAGACCCGGGTCCAGGGTTTCCTGTCGACTACCTCCAATCACCATCTAATCTTAATATATAGTCCCCGCAATGTCGAGTCACCTAGACTGGTGGCCACATTGATCACCACCCAGTGATAGATCAATTGTGAGAAATTATAATTTCTCATTTATAATGATGTATGGTTAAGTAATCAATGTGTATATTTCAATAAGATTTTGAGTTTTAATGTTTGGTTTTTTAGCCTGATTTATTTGTTTCCCGACTGGAATATTGAGGATGGATGGAGGAGGTCATGAGACCAATAGGATTTAAGATATTGATATCATAGTTATGGGCTAAGAAGAAGGTCATTTTTCTGACAGACATGAGATTTACTCGTAATTAATGAACTGTATATCTCATGATTCAGTTAATTGAACGTGTGTAGGGATGAGAATCACAATTGATGTGAATAATAAATATTAATAATGATAATAATAACAAGAATAGTATCAATGAACATTACTTACATTGGATGGGACAAATATGTAAAAGTATTTTGGTGGATTCAATGTTCTCAAAGCTAATTGTGTTTCTGATGAGAGACAATGATCATGATCTACAATAAATTGAGGTAAATCTTTTTCTTGTTCCAATGTTTTATATACATCCAAGTGACAACGTGTACCAGATAGTATTGTCCCTTCAATACAAACACATTCAGTGATACCTAAAATGAATATTGTAAAGTTAGAATTTTGTGACATAGGAATGCATAAATAAATAATTATATACACTTATTGATCAAACATCTTTTTAAGATAAGATAAAGAAGACTGGGCTAGTCAAATGAAACTTGAGTATTTATCTATTATCTGCTGAATTACTTTTAACCATTTATAGATTGCAAGTTAATTAATTAAAGTCTGTTACTGAGCTTTAAGTGTTGGTAGGAGGCCTATGCTCCTCCACGAGGAATAACAGGCGTAAGTAAGTAAGTGAATGAGCTTTGATACGGATTTTCGTACTAAAAACAGGTAAATACAACGTTGTATTCCTGAATACCACCCTAATGAGACAGTTAAAAATAGTCTTGTTCTAATCTTTAATTCTAATAGATATTTTAAATGGTACAATACCATGTGGTTATTGACCCAGGTTATATAGCATCATGTGTCGATGTTGTTCAAGTTAGATCTTTGGAAAGTTGGCAGAAATAAGCTGACAAGAAATCTTATCACACAGAATAAAACACAATCTGTATGATATGTGGAACCTATTCAAGATATTCGAATTTGATATCTTATCAAACAGAATTAGTTAGGTGCATAAACCACTAGGTGACAAGTTAGATGTTGTTGTCTTACATTGTTCTTACTCGTTCCCTTTCTACTCTTTTGTATATTGTTTTATACTACTTATTTACATTTAGTAAGCAGTTGTATTCCCAACGATTTTCACACTTATGTTGTAACGCAAGTTGTACTGTAATATTCTTAAATGTTCACATACACTTATAACGTTTATTGTACTTATCATTGTATTTATCAATATAATTGCTGTATCTTAATCGCTGTAGCGGTTATCCACAGTTTTGTGCATTTGTTTAAACGCAACACTTTCCATATTGTTTGCTCTTGGTTCGGGTTTCGGTTGTTCGTAAACTGTTATCAAATCTAGACACAGCTATCAGCTGCACTTTGTACTATCGTATGTTATAATTATTCTTTATGTTACTGTTACAGGAAACCTTTTTTTTCGTACGTGAAGGACGCTTTTAAACGCCCCAGACACCTCACAAGTTGAGGTTTGTAACTAAGTTTTATTTATTATTCAATAAAGAACCGCTATTGTAGACAAATCGTTGTTTTGGAAAATTCGGTTTTGCGCGTATTTCAATCGGGTAACTTGGACGCTTCGATAGACTTAACAGATGTTATAGCAAGAAGAATTAAAGAGAGATTAAAAATCATGTAACCTACTTTTTTCAGGACATTGTTATTTACAGTTTGGTCATTTGCTTCCATGATTTTGTTTGATCAATAGACTATTTCCATATATTTTTCCGTCGACAAGTTAAGTAGTTTTAATAAAGAATTTATTACTCTGACTACTGTTACTTTAAATGCCTAGCTTTTGGCAATATATGTAAAGATGGATAGTCGTTAGTAATGGAATCCAGGACGTGCGTTTCGTCCTATCTGTGACTCGTCAACTGGATGCACCTGAATGTACCACTGCTAGCCACTATCCAACTTTATTTATAATGCTTGTGACTTAAGACAATATCGAGGCAGTTTGCACAGGATGCACATATGCCAATAAGAGACTGACTAATTGTAGTTCTAAACATCAATGAGAAGATTCACAAAAAAATGCAAAGTGAATTTAGCATATTGTAAGTTTTAAATTATTGTGCTCCATAGTTTGTCTGTCTATGAATCTGATCATGCAGCTTTGGGAATATGTTGTGTCTTCAGTTTTCGAGGTTTGCCATACTATCGTCTTCTTATCTCTTTGTCTTTTGCTCGTGCAGAAACAGATGTCTGAGAAATCAATCGGTACTTAAATATCAAATGATTTAGTCAGCTATTAGGAAAGTCAGACCACAAGATCAAATCATTTATAATTTGGTTCAGAGTGCTGTCACAAGTTTATATTAGGTGGCCTACTGTATCAAGGATACTAACAAGTTACGAGTCGATTTCTCTTGAACATGTGAAACCAGGATTAGTAGGCATCTCAAATCATCACATAAGATAATATTTTGTATCTGCTGGGATCCAGAGGGCTTAGAGGTCAACATTCAGAATGAAATATCGAATCTCTTCAAGACAGTAATATTTTTAATCAAGTTTACTGGAGTCACTTATTGACAGGTGTAAATCACTGTTAGATTTAGCTGGTCTCTCCAAGTTTGTTTTATTTTAATTTTAACAGGAGAACATCACTATCATACGAACTCGTTTAACACTAAGAAAGTCAGACCACAAGATCAAATCATTTATAATTTGGTTCAGAGTGCTGTCACAAGTTTATATTAGGTGGCCTACTGTATCAAGGATACTAACAAGTTACGAGTCGATTTCTCTTGAACATGTGAAACCAGGATTAGTAGGCATCTCAAATCATCACATAAGATAATATTTTGTATCTGCTGGGATACAGAGGGCTTAGAGGTCAACATTCAGAATGAAATATCGAATCTCTTCAAGACAGTAATATTTTTAATCAAGTTTACTGGAGTCACTTATTGACAGGTGTAAATCACTGTTAGATTTAGCTGGTCTCTCCAAGTTTGTTTTATTTTAATTTTAACAGGAGAACATCACTATCATACGAACTCGTTTAACACTAAGAAACCTATTACTTAAGGTTGATTAAATCACGTGAACTTAGATACCTAAAGTCGCACTGTTTAGTCAAGAACTAAATAGCAATAATATCATTCATTGACATGCTATTGTTATTGACACAAATATCAAGAGGGAACCGGTGGAGAAGTAGTGTAAGATGTGAAATAGTCTGTTATATATGTAACACACACTTACTAGCCAGTTATGGCTTGCTTTGGTCGGATATATCAGTTAAAAAGTAACAATGTAATCTACAATATCACAGATTTACCTCTAAATTTTATACAGTTTTACTAATAATGAAAAAGACGAACTAAAAACAAGCTAAAATGCAACTATATTAATTTACCTCTTGGGATATTATGTATACATCTACTAAATGGTTGACATTCTCGTGCAACGCAATCTGATTTACATGAGAAACCGTCACCAACAAATCCTGGACGACAAATACACATATGACTGAGTAACTAGACGAGAAAAAATAAAACAAGGTGATCAAAAACAATATTGAACTGAATAGTTTTAATGTAAGTATTAACTACAGAGTTATTTTCAGGGAATGAGTTGCACTTAGCTACGTTATTTGGGATCTGATTGAAACGTTATTATTATTTATGCTTGATACTTGAACACTTGATAACGACTTTCTAACCGCTTCACAATCTCTCAAAAAACTGCAGTTGTGTTCCATTCAGTGGTATCTTTGAAGAGAAACGTTTTTTTCTTGGTTAATTTTGAGATAGTAAGCATGGACGTTTTTAGGTTCCTGTTTCACTTCAACATTTTAGAAGCTTCTGGAAACAGATTAAAATCAGTAACAAGGTAGATAGTTATCCAACAAAGTGATATGTAATCCATTGTTTTTCTCAAGCTCTCAATTGTATTGACTATAACTTGACAACTTAGAGAAAAAATTTCTTCTACACTCTCAAATGACCTTTCAAGTTTACAAATGACATGTTTTAGATATGCTTAAGGATTAATAGATGTAGAGGTTCACTATTTTGACATATAACATTGTCTAATTCACCTGTTTTAGTCACTTTAGTACAAAAATTATACATTTGGAAACTATAGAGTTTGATTACAGACGTTATAAGGTGGTCGCACACTACTAGATTCCGGCTAAATGGTCTAGAGGTTAGGAGCTCGATTGTGAGACCTGAAGATTCAAGATTTGATTGCCGATAGGGTTTTGGATGCACTCTGCCAAGGTGGTTCATACTAGGACCAAATAGATGTTCAGTGCTTCCTGGTTTTCAGTGGTTGTCTAACTAACGTCAGTACGTGATGTAATCTATAAAAATCTAACAATCACCACAGTTTTAATATACTAAAATAATGATGATAATATTACCTGCTTTTTCTTTAAACTAACACCCAAATGTTCAGCACATACAGCTGACGGGTCACATAAGTCAGCACATTCATCCGTTAGCGGGGTGATTGGTGCGCATACGTAACGTCCATCACCGAAATAACCTGGTTTACAAATACATTCAGCTTGTTTATTTAGTAAACAAAATGCATTCGGCGCACAACCGCATAGTCCTGTTCACAATTGAATAATATACACATAAATTGACAAAAAAATGAAAAAAAATCAGTGTATGTAGAAGGGCATATACGATACAATAATTGAAATGAAATATGCTAAATACAACAGTCTATATATTTTTAAGGATTACATTAACTAGTGTGAACGAAGTGATGACGTACCCTCATGTAACTCATGGAGTTGTACCTCACGGATGGGACATGTTTTCAGAAAGGAGGGGGGGTGATAATCTGGTGAGTATGGATATATTATGTGCCTATCCTCATATTTATTCTGAAGATCAGGCGGTAGGCGAGATATCACGAACGAGGCAATCTATTATAAGCTGATAATGCATTTAATCAAAGTTGCCAAACCAACCAAATCGTATGTATACCAATAATTAGTACAAATAATAAGTTAGTCTGCCAATTAAACTTTTATGCTCATTTCAGTTTTCTGAGTTGCATAGTGAGTTTGTTATACTCTAGGTAATACATTTTGTAAATGAATCTTACAGCAGAACATAATAGTTTACTTTCTATCGAAATATTTATTATTGTTTCAAGTTATATAGAGTTGTTAACTATTAATATCCACAAACTACCTAAATAATAAATAAACCCAGTAGCTACTTAGATAACGCGATGGTATTTGAGGCAAACAGTACTGAGTTCGACCCCCAGAGTGAACATCAACTCTGAGGTGCAGGTATATCCAGCTGACGAGTCCCAAATAGGACGAAACGCACGCCCTGAATTCCACTGCTAGTCACTATCCATCTTTACATACAAATTTAATAGTTGAATTCATGAGTCAATTAAAGCTAGACCACCATGGGAAACCTGGATCTGGCGTGCAGGATCGTGGATACTCACTAGTGACGAGTCCCATACTAGGACGAAATGGCGTTTAAGTTTATTATTCACGTTTACATAAACATAATATTTCACTGTCAGATCTACACTATACTCTAACTAATCGTAAACTTTTTCTAGTTTACTTTCAATTTTTATTTGTAATAACATAAAGCTTAACTTTCTGTTGAATAGCTATACTTCAAGTCAGATGAAAGTAACAGTTCAATAATGCAATGCGAAGACGAAGGATATCAAAATTCTGTGATATATTTGCACAATACATTACATCATAACAGTTGTCCAATCGCAACTAGTCCTTAATGTGAAATTTCAAGGTTAACATATTATAATAGGCTGATTCAGCCAATCAAGTTATGAAGATTTTCCCATCATCTTATTGGTTGAATTTAATAGTCTAATGAACCAATCCACACATAGTCCGTATTCTACCCTATTTATGACTGAATAATTGACAAAAGAAGTAAATCAAATCAAAACTGACACAATATTACTACTTACTTGCTATTTCATCAATATCTTTTTCAGAAATATTTTGACTTATAGAATAACGTGTACCAAGTATTGATGTAGTATAATCAATTCCTTTGGCTGGATGATAATAGCATAAATAGAGGAGACCTTCACGTTGAGCAAGTGTTTCACGATATAATAGCATATCTTTTTCACTTAACACCGTTGATTTACGATTATTAATCATAGTATTACTATTACTATGTAATGGTGATGTAAGATAGGTGGTAATTTTCTCTCTATCCAATACAGTTCCCGGTACACTAGAACATAAACCGGAACTACTAGCTAAATAAAAACCATCTTTTGATGGTGGTACACGTAACAGTAGAGTTTTATCTTCACGACAACATTGCATAAAATAAACAACATGATTTTCAATATCTTCATGCCAATGACTATTAGGAATTATTTCACCATCTGGTGATATGGAATGTATACTTTTTAGAATGAAACGTGGGATTTTCAATGGAAACTCTCTGGAAGCTTCTAGGAGATAAATCAAATACAAGATCAAATGTTTATTTATTATAGATATTTAAAAGAAGAAATGGTCTAAAAATGAAAATAAAAGTATTCACATTTGTTTAAATGTAGTTAAGGTTATCCCCGACAACTTCTTGGTGTCGTATATGTGTTGTATGGAGAATTTTCGGCCATTTTTTCTTTCGTTTATTTACTGAGTAAGTACTACTTATTGAAGTTGAATTTTCATTAAAACTTTCATTTTAAGAATCTGGAGTTATTTGAAACATCTCAATATAGGATGATAGTTCAATAGTGTTATATCCCAGAGTAGATTAAATCACGAGTAACTTCTGGGAAATATTAATCGACTAACATTATCTATACCTTCTCATGGTATAGATATTCAATAATTAGATTATATATATTTATATTCCTCTTATTATAAGCTTCATTTTGACCTATAACTTATTATTGTACGATTTAAGGTTCTTAAGCTATGTTCAGTTTATTGACTACTGCCTCCCACGTTCACAGTCACTTTTTGCCTTTATTGTGTACAAATGTTATTTCCTCTTTTATGGTGCGTTGCGGTCTGTTTGATTGATATATAAACTCAGTATGTCTGAAACAAAAGATTCAGTTCGATTCGATTCGCATATTGGAAGTTGGTATTGTGTTCTGGACTCAAGTGGACGGGTTAGGCAGACATAGGACCAAATAAGACACTAGGCTGCTCATACCGGTCGAACATCATTGGTTTTCGCACAGTGCTAAGATTGTATGAGTCGTATTTTGATTGGTGGATAAATCAAGTGATAACAATTCACTTTATTCTTAAACTTAACAGAATAAATTTTGAATGATTAAAAAACAGATAGCTTAGCATTGTACTTTGATGGTGTAATATTTCAGTGTATTATGATAAACAAATTAACTTATGATATTCAGATTTGCGATTGTTAAGATATTATGCACGTTGGTGATTAATTTCGAGAGGAAATTTCTAGAGTTCTAGTAAGAGGCCATGACTTGCAGAGTTCGGCTTTATCGTGTGTGAAGATGGACACTGAAGACAATGGAAGATGGTAACTCAATATAACAGATTAATGGATGTGATACTTATATACCAATGGATTCCGGTCTAGTGATCTAAAGATTAAGTGTTTATGCATGAGGCCTGAAAATCCTGTGTTCTATCTTCGGTAGGGTCGTGAGTGCTTAACCTTAAGGAGTCTCATACTTGGCCGAAACAGCTGTCCAGTGCTTTCTGGTTCTTGACGGTTTATTTTATTAACTTATATCAGTTAGCGATTTTGATAAATTTTGATTTCCTGGTAAGAGATTATCGTGTTTTATCATCTTATTATTATCCCACTGGATGGATATGCACACATAGTGAATTATATAAAAGCTGACCTATCATGTATATAGTACGATTTTAACTCATGATCTGTACAATTAATTTTTTTCTGGCTAGCGTTTTTTTAGCGAGGTAGTTTTTTTCGAGATGGGGTCGCTAACCCCATGTCCAACCTTTCTCTTTTATCCGGGCTTGGGACCGACAGTGGCCCCCGGAGGGACTCCAGGTGGAGTTCTGTACAATTAATGTCATATATAACTTCAACAATCACATAAGTTTGGTTATGATTCCTTGAAAAACCAAGTTCTAACATATTTTAAAAAAAAAGTTTGTTAACTATTTAGGTTAAATTTATAGGTTAGCTGATTATAAACGGGATCGTCAGTTTGTAGACAGCAAAATTCAAACAGGATTTGGCTTAAGTGATCTCTAAAAGTCAAATAAATCTTATTTTTAAATTGAACAGTGAAAATTGTTTAGAGAGAAAACGGACGTAAATTACTTATCACATACTCATTCCAATCGGGCAATGTGTGTTCATGGTAAATATACAGTAATCGCCAGCAGGCCATGTTGAAAATTTACTTGTAGTACCACTACTACTATTCTGTTCATTAGTATGTACACAAAATTCCATGGTCACGTAGGCGGTTATGTTGAATATAGTCTCTGTATTGGTATTCGGATTGCTCATTAATTGTTGTTCAGTTTCACTGCTTGCAAATATAAAACGTTTACGTTCAAATGTTTCTGGACATTGATATTTACTGCCACTGATAAAATTTTTACCATCTTGAACATTTGTAGATGATGCTGTTGTATTAGTCTGTTCATTATCTGCAGCAATTGTTGTCACATATGATGTACGCAAGCCACTACGTCTTCCTATAGGAAGCATATATTCACCAGATGGCCATTCTATAGTGTCATTCATCCATGATATCGGTAAATAATGACATAGAACATCCCACTGAGGTTCATGCTTACCTTCTGAACCAGAAACCAGTCGTACAAGATAACGTTCCACCTGAGGGTATTTTATTATTAAAAATACATATTAACAAAAAATACAAGTGAATTCAGTGAATTATTAAAAAGTGTACATTATACAACTTCATTTACTGGTTATTTTCAGTATGAAGGTGTGTGGAGATTGTTGGATTTCATTGAAATCATGAACCAATCTAAGTCAGAACACCATTGGAAATATGGAAGGACTGAAAGGCCATTTTGTCCTAGTATGGGAATCCTTAACAGTGTGCATTCACGACCAGTGGAGTTAATCCGTGTCGGGTATGAAGCAGTTACCCAACGAAGACAATGGAGGATTGATGAGCAAAATCATGGATTGAATAAAGTTAGGCGTTAACACCACCAGATGTCAGCTCAGTCATCTAGAGACTAAGCGTTTACACAGGAGATCGAAGGATTTGGTTTGGATCCTGGTTTGCAGCGGGTCGTTATGAGCACTGATGAGTAGTCCCATACTAGGACGTGAATAGCAGTCCAGTGCTTCCGAGTTTTAAATGGTGGTCTAACTTAGATCGATTATTCGTTTCAAAAAGTTTTTTCATCGAATTTTCCTCATTGCATTGAGGAAACGGTACGTTAGAGTTTAAATAAGTTGTCAATTATAATTAAAATGCTGTTTTGGTTACTTGGAGAAATTCATGTTTCATTCGTTACTGTTTACTAAAATAAAGTGAAATCCACTAAATCCTAACTTAATGATCTGAAGGTTAAACGCTCTTCTCAAAGCTTCAAGGTTTTGACCTTAACATTTTGTGCAGATATGGTAATTTCCATACTAGCAAGAAACAAATGTCCAGCGGTTCTTGATTACGACAGCTGTCTAGCTAAAGTCAGTTTGTGATATGAAACTTCAAAATGTACTATCGTTGAATTGATTAGGTTATGGGTAATTCATTTTGCATTTAGATTTATAAACTGTACAGATTGTTTTGCAACTGATAATCGAATTTCATTTGACATTAATAAACCTTTTGTCTGGGTAACTATGTTTCTGCATGAATTTTTATGTAGTTCAGCTTTGCGAAACAAACTAGTAACATATTTTTCAGTAATAAAATATGCTATTCATGTCCAATGTTCGTTAGAAATATTGAATATCGATAAAACTATTTATAAGAATTGGTTACATGTGTTATTCAGCAACCCCTTTACGAAGCTGTATGTTCAGAAAGGGTTTTGTAGAGATTATAGTGATTTAATAGTTGAATTCATGAGTTGTGAGTTGAGTGATGCTAGACACTAACACCGTTAGATGCCGGCTCAGCGGTCTAGAGGTTAAGCGTTCGTGTGCGATATCAAAGGTCCTGGGTACTAGTCCCGCGTGCGGGATCGTGGATGCGCACCGCTGATGAGTTGCATTCTAGGATGGAATGGCAGTTCAGTGCTTCCAGGTTTTCCATAGAAGTTGTATGTACTTAAAAAACTCAGGGTCTATTTAGCTGTCAATAATCTGTATAATTTGAAAATGCTATTAACTGTAAAGTTTTCTATGTTCGTTTATTGACTTCAATGGAATTAAATGACTTATCTGTGTAACCATATATTTCCAATTTGAATACCTTGATTGTAAACTTATTGTGGTGTTTGTATTAAATAATAAGTTTTTTATAAATAACTTCTTGGTTTATTCATATTTCAATAGATTACGATCATATACACAATATTGTGGATTGATTTAAATTAGAAATGTAAACAATTGGATACCCGGTTAGTGGTTTGGAGGTTAGGAGATCATCTTGAAATCTGAGGGTCCTAGACTCAACTCCGCCGTGGTAAGATTACTAGAGAGCACCACTAAGGGAGTTTCATACAGTGACGAAACATCTGTGCAGTGATTTCCGATTTCCAATGGTTGTCTTACCAACAGTAGTTTGTGGAATGAACTATGAAAGTCAACAGTCTCTAAAACCCTATCACATCATTAATTTCTATTCTATTAATGTGACATAATACTATGAGATACTGTAAATATCGATTGCGAAAATTCCGTTATTACAAATTTTTAATCTGACAGATAAAATTCATCACTTTTTCGTGGACTGGTTGAAATTAGATATTAACACCGTTTTTACCAATAATTAGCCTGATTTTTTATATTCATGATCTGGTGAATTTAAAGACCTATTTTCAATTTCATCGGGATCCCTTACTCTTCTCATTGGTCATGCATTTAGTCAGTCATAACGAATGTAGAACCTTGTACATATGTGTATCGATCCAAGCTGTAACATCACATCAATACGGCTAGGTGAAATTGTAAAGATGAGTATCAGAGCGACAGTAGTAGTAGTGGTAATAATAATAAGGGTGGTGCCATAAATGTTTGGTCATAAACGTTATTTGACAAAAAAGGTGTGTAAAGTAATTTTCAAAATAAGAATCTTAGACAAGATAAAGAGTGAATGCATTTTGGGGACTTTTGAGGAGTTTGAATTATAACAGTCACCATCTCCATCTACTGGTCACTATAATCATGAAGACCCTAACCAGGTGATCTCTACTTGCTAAAATCACTCATTTAACAGTCATTGTCCTCATGGACTAATGTCACATCTTCTTTTGGATGATTTTAGGTCTCTTTCAACCTACATCTACCCAACCTAGGCATACCTTTCTATCTTCATATGTTGTTGACATAAGGCTGGAGTTATCCATTAGGTAATTCATTAGACCAGCTGTAAATCACTGTTTTATTTTTGTAGAAACCATGTAGATAGCGATGAGCTATGTTGTGGATGCGGAGGCATAGACCAATAATTATCATGCTAAGTCCAATGGTGTCCTTGGACTTTAAATGGACATTTTCTATTGGTCGATATCTGTTCACTTGTGAATATTGTACAAAATGTTGTTTTCTATTTTTATGGTACGATGTGGTATGCTTGGTTAGTATATAAATAGAGTATGTTTGAAATATAATGATTCATATCTCAGAGGTTGTGACTTGTGTTCTGGACTCAACTAACTGGGCTAGACAGGGAAGTGGGACCAATCGAGACTCTAGGTTGTCCGTACGTGTTTACGTGTCATTGTAATCGATCGATAACACAGGGTAGAAATCTACAACAACTTAAAGTCATAACAAGCTATATACAATCATGTGGTTTTATTGTGTTTTTTCAATCTTGTTCTGTGTTACTTTGATTATTTATCAGCAATTTTCGGTCATTTCGATTCATTCTGAATCAAATCTGCTCAATGTGGTTCATAACGACAAACATCATATTTGTCTGTCGGTAATTAACTGCCCCAGTTATATCTATATATACAGCACATTGACATTAGACGTTTTCCGAAAGCAATTATGTTGTGCCCGACGGCTTGATACAACCGTGATATACACTTCCTATGGTATGCTAAACTCACTATAGAAAGGAGAAGACTGAGAAATAACTGAGAATCATACCAAATTATAATGTACTTTAACTATAAGTATACATACAATCATCCTTCCAACCCAGAAAAGGATATGTAGGCTAAGATCTAGAGTATATACCGTATTGATCCCTCTAAAAGCTTATTTCATTTGACACTGAGACATACTGGGAGGACAGATCATAATTTCTAAATACTCATCCAGTCTATCACTTAACCATCCTTAAGATTTATCTTTAACGTCAGTTGAAGTAACAATGATCAATTGGATTATTTACAAGAATTCGATTGTAATAAATATTGATTCGTTACATTGAGAATACTTACATGAGTATCTTTTATTGGTAAACATTTTTCACCACCAAATAAGAAGAAATCTTCGATAAATGGCCAGTTGACGGGTTTAGGATCTTTAATATTATCAGTTCGACAACAAAGTTCAGAGAATGCTCGGGCATGTCTATGAAGACCTGGAAAAAAATATATATTTGTTAATAAATGTATGTCATTTGAGAATGCTCTACGATCGTATTTGTGAATTAATATGTCTGTCAAAAACAGTAGTCTACAGTAAAACATTTGCACTGTACAAAGAAGGCTCTCTTGAAGTATATCTTCAAACGTTACTCTGCCTGGCTGTTTAAAATACTACAAAAGTCAACCAAAAGCTCAATCTTAAAACATCTAATTAATTCTGGTTACTACTCCACCAAAATTCTCATTCAAAATCATCCATACAATCTGAGTAATCGGTTCAAAAAGAGTATAAATGAAAAACTTATATACAGTAGAGGCAGTAACTATCCACTAATTAAGGTCTAACCTTTGCAAATAAAAACAGTATGTTCAATCTCTCATTCTACCACAGTCTTGTCCATCCTTTCTATCTTCGATCGACTATTGCAATTTTTTAAACTCCTATCAAATAATTTTTCACAAATATTAGTTAGCCATTATTATGATTTTTAAGTATTCTTGGTATAAGGGAATTCGTAGAGACTGTAGAATGTTCACAATTTAAATCAAAAACTGATCTTAGGTAGAGCACCACCGAAAACCTGAAAGGACTAGACGGTTATTTCGCCTTCTCAGTGGTCTAAAGGTTTGCGTTTGCGAGCGAGATTGAAGATCGTGGGTTTTATTCCTGGATGCAGGATCGTGGATTCTGTGGAATCTTATACTAGGACGAAACGGCCATACGGTGCTTCCAGGTTTTTAATGCTAGTTGAATAAATGAAATTGTCGAAAATGCTTTTTCACTGAATGACCTTTGTTTTTCCTTAATGACGCAATGAGTCTACTTCGTTATTTGTTGTTTATTGAATATTTGGATGTTCAGTTAGATGTTATCGTGGCGAGACTATAATTTATGGACGAGCCAAGTAAAAGCGAATGAGCGATTTCAGGGTCACGGAGCCTATTTCAATATTTAATGCCCTCGCACGATCGGTTTATAGCAGATTTCAAGGAGGACGTTATAGTTGAGTGGCTACAACCGATGGGATTATTGAGAAGTTCCTTTATTTGTGATTGAAAGGTTCAACTGTCTACTGGACAGTGTGAAGACTATCGTGACGATGTTGCATTTCGGTGCAATATATGTTAGAGGGGGAAGTCTGCTAGAACAGGAACTTTTTTCGGTTGATCCCGATTGAAACTAAAACAGATTATGACAAGTGTTGTAAAATGAATAATAAAAGCACCAGTAACCATGGCTGCAACCTTTGTATATGTTACTGAAGCTTTGGCAGTTCAATGGTATAAGTACTGGCAAGATACATGTGCAATTATAATGACAATCTGCATGATTCTTCCGATTGACAATTCCTTTCCAATTCCATCTCCGTTTTCTTCGAACCGACCTTCACAACCTCCTGCTGCTAGGTTTTCCATTTCCAATTGGTGTTACATTGTGCTTATGTCTGTCGACAAGGGTAGCATACACCACAGGGAAAATCGTAGAAATGGACGAAACAGTCGTTAAAAAACACATACTCAATAGGGTAAAAAGTAATAAAGAAGACTGGGGAGGTAGCACTTCCTTAAGTATGCTTAGCCGATCTTTGATATATATGATAGATCATCTCAAAAGAGACACTTCCAGAGAGTGAGAAATTGACAGGCTAAAGCGATGGTGCCAATTATAGGAGAGTATGTGTATCCGGTTACCAAAATATACACGGATGACTGGAGAGAATATCGATGTCTATGTAGACTTGTATATATGCATCGTATCATCGTTCACAAGCGACATTTTGTTGACCACACCGCGGGAGTACACACCAATACTATAGAAGCAATGTGGTCGACGCTAAACAAATTTTTACCATCTTATCATTGCTCCAGAGATGCACTATTATGAAGTCAAGTGGACGAGTTCTTATACCGTATGCATTACGATTTCAGAACTGCGGATTTTCTTCCTAACCTTGAAAAGTTTCTAAATCATTTCAAAGAAGTGTATTCATTGTATTTTTTTGGTTTTGTATAGCATACTCTCACTCCATACCAACTGTTTTCTGATTGGCTGAAATTTCTTAAGGTCATTCAAGGTCCATCCAAAGGTCGTCTATAAATTATAGTCACGTCTGTTAAATTGTTTTTCCCGTTGGACTACTGTTTATTTTATGTGATTATCAATTTTCGTTAGTTTATTTTGAATTATCTTGGATATATTATGTGTTCGAAAAGAAAATTTATATCAGTAAATATCAATAGGTGAAAGCTTTATTTATTTACTTGAACACAAAAATATTGGTACAAAGGAGCACCGAATACATATGCGCCACACAAGTCACTTGATTTGTGTGTGGGCTATGATACTGTTGGGGTGCCCAGACCAAAACAGGTGGTTTTCTTAGGAGGCCACACCCGGAGCCTTTGACTTAAAGATCTGATTCATAAGGCAATGGAGCAACGTTAGGAGATGCAGTCCCATGGTAGTCGATGACCAACAATTGGTTCATACGACATTTTTTCCTTCAGGATACTGGACCTCATGTATACCATTGGTTTGAATTCAGAGTTTTCCAACTTTCCTAGGTGGACTCTCCTTGTCGACCGACCCGGTTGAAATGCCGAACATTTGCTTTTCGTCCTCTCGATTTCGTAAACAACACCCTCGCCTCGGGAAGGCAGTGAGTAGGACTTCCCTGGGAGTGGTTGTATACGTATGGACATGTGAGAACATTTGGAGAGAGAGAGAGCTGACTCTCCTCACCCTCAGCCATACTAGGGCATTTGGCGGTCAACTGAAAGCTAATTATTTATATTTACAATTATACTATCAAATTTTATGGGTATTGAAAGACACATGTGGGCTTTAGTGGTTTTACTGAAATAAATATAATTATTTACTACATTCTGAGATTCTGATATATCACTTCACTGGGTGTAAATGAATTCTAACACGTTCAACACTGTGATCTTAGTATCCATAACTTAATGTACTCAAAATAATAATAAAATTTGTTAGTTGATAAAAGACATAAATTATCCAATGTATTTCAAACATCTTAAGTTTTTGGGATAATTTTGAAAATAAAGTTCGGAACTATTGAGATGGTTTAGAAGATTTGTAGCTCAGGTGGATGATTTTGGTGGAGTTTCGTTCTCTGAGCTGGATGGTTTGGTCGTGGAGCTTTCATCGTTCTTCTGAACAAGATTATCAGCACAAACTTCAGATAGAAGTTCGGAACTATTACAACAAAATGAATTTAAATAAAAAAAGTTTGGTTCAGCGAAGAGTTCTCTTTTTCAAAGTTGTACAATCGAACACATTGCTGAAACAATAGCCATATATCTAGGAAAACCAGAATTGTGTGTCCTAAAGAGATTAGTACAACCTCTTATTCTACCATGGTCTTAATATCTTTTCTCATCATATTCGTTTTTCTTTGCAGCCATCTACTTTCCCTTCCATTTTCTCCTTGAATCTTCTACTCTCAATTGGTTTAATTCTGTTTCTATGATCTCGATTACATTTTATCTCAATTTCAACATTCTACCTTATCATGATAAGCCATCCTTTCCCAATGATAATTTCCCTATCTATCTTTATGATAAATATTTAAGCACTTAACAATCATTTACTTGGTGTTGCTTACTTATATCTTCTCACTGTTATTTAGGACTGGTATATGTACATCCTGTGCGAACTTCCTCGATATCGCCATAAGTCTCAAGCTTTATAGGCAAAGATGGGTAGCGGTTAGCAGTGGAATTGAGGACGCGCGTTTCTCCCTACTTAAGATTCGCCAGCTGGGTGTACCTGCATCTCAGATTTGGTATTCAATCTGGTACTCTAACCCAGTAAAATTCGCTTCGAACACCATCGCGTTATCTACTTAGCTACTGAGTCCTGATAGCCACCTACTTGTGCCATTATTATCATTACTATTATGAGTTTCCCTGGCTAAAATATTTCTTATACCTTTGTTTATTCTACTTCACTGTTACCATATTTAACAGAAGTTTATTATCATTATTACTATAATTATTATCACGAAAAAGTAGATATATATTTGCGATTGTACAGCTTTGAAAATGAATTCGCCGAAAAGAGAACTCTTTGCTGAATCAATCTTTCTTACTTAATATCTCAATGGATGTATTTCGTTTACCGAAGAATGGATTTAGTCTGTTTCACTGTTGCTGCCTGATTACAATCATACTAAAATCATAAAAGTGTGTAATAGGTTAATATGTATGTATGTGTGTATGTATGTATGTATGTATGTATGTATGTATGTATGTATGTATGTATGTATGTATGTATGTATGAATGTGGGTGTGTATGCATGTATGTATGTATGTATGTATGTGATGTTTTTCTTTAACAGAAAACCAAGTTTGAAAAGTTCATAAAGTGTAAGATGCTTCTGAGATCTACTTCATGAATGTTTGTGTTTACGATATAATTCTGGGGAAGTTCTCTCTCTCTTCTCACCTAACAATTTTGTACCAGTTGAATTATTATTACATAATTTATCAGGACAATCCGCATCTATTTAGATCATAGTTAAGACACTCTTATAGTAGTGAACCGAGGATTTAGTGTTACTTACTTATTCAGTTACTTACTTACGCCGGTTACTCCTCGTGAAGGAGCATAGGCCGGGGGATTTAGTGGGGTGAACCAGTTTGTTCTATAATGCACATTACATAGTGCCTCTAACAAAATATGAATACCATACATTAGACACATCATTTGCACATCTTTCTTCAGATTTCCTTCTCATACCTCATTATTCTTTTAATTATGATATTATTTTGATTACCCGCCATTTTCCTTTCCGTTTTCTTTATTCCATTTTGTATTCCTACTACATACTACTTATATCTGTCTGCATAAGTCACGCACACCATACTATTACATTAGAAGTATGATATCATTAAATCTGTTTACCATAGTTTAGTGATCAATATTTTGGTTTTATCAACCTACTAATCATGAATAATCACTTTTGTATGTTACGGGTGGTATATATTGTTCTTCATTTTACATACTTATCTTCTTATCTAAGGCTTTTCATCAGTTAACTTCAAGTATTCGATAGAGATGAATCACGGCTGAAGTAATTTGGTATCGGTCTAAACTTAGCTAATCAATATCCTGTTATAAAATCATTAAAACATTTTATGAATGTAATATGCTAATTGAAGTCTTACTATTAGAATAGTTCCTTCAGAACAACCAGCTTCATAAGAACTTCTTTTTGATACATATATATGAGATACTATAAAACGCAATAAAAAAGATAGAACAAAATAAACATTCTGAACGAAAAACACCAATCTGTCTAATACAGTTGACTAACCTGGTGGACATTGATGATTTTCAGCTGTAGATATTACACAGTAATCACCTTTAGGCCATTGAAACTCAGGAAGTTTTTTATCATCTCCTAATAATCCCGTTATAATTGATGATGAAGATGAAGAGGAAGAAGAAGTGACTGTTTCCTCTTCATTATTTGTTTCAATTATAACTTCTCCTGTTTCATTAACTAATTCATCATTTATATTTGGATTATTTCTTTCACAATAATGTACATTTAATGCACTATAATTATGTCCCATTAATTCTAAAAAATATGGTCCTAAACTCATTGGCATTAATTCTAATTCAAAAAATGCTGCTTGATTATTAATTAATGAATAATAATGTTGTGTAAATCCTGGTGGACATGCTTTATCTAAATCATTTCTATGTACATTCGGTAATGCATATTGACCTAATGGCCATTCAGTTTGAAAATAATAACCTATATAGTAAATATTTTAAGAAAAAAAGTATAAAGAAATATTGTATTAATAGTAATAATAATAATAATAGGATAATCAAAATAATTAAAGTCAAGGTAACGATAACGATGAGACATACTGCTTTTGTACGCATAGTTCTGGTTTAAGCTCCTGGATGGTAAGAGATTCGGCTATTTTTAAGAGTTGGATCTATTCGCTTTCAAGTCAGATACGGGAACATATCCTAGCTTAGTTCTATAAGGGTGAAAGGAAAGCAGTTAGGAGTTCTATACTTGAACACCTAATCGACTGTAACCATTCTACAGATCCACAACCTGATTTTAAGGTTGTTTATATGATTCGTTCAAATCTATCCAGATTTCTTCGTATCCAACTCTTAAAAATAGCCGAAGCTCTTACCATCCAGGAGCTTAAACCAGAATTCTTGTATTGTTCATTGAACATGTCAAAGGTATTTATATATACATGTCGGGTGTATGAAGATTGTCGGTAAGGAATCTTACTTCATTGAAGTTTTGTGTTATTTTGTACTGGTTAACAAGATATATTTAAAGTGTTAAGAGAACTGGTGCTTCGTATAAGATTCGAATCCAGGTCATTTATCTTTAATCTCTGGTATTATCATTGAATTTTTCAAGATGCGATTAACCTTCTGTAGTATCGATTTATTTACAAGTGATGCTTCACTAATTAGTACTGACTAACTTTAAGTCGGTATAATAGTGTTTTAAAATAGAAGACTTTGATCTTTTATTATATCTCGATGAGAATAATGAATGGTAACTGTTGAAATCTATTTATGGACAAATACTATACACATATTTTTATTGCATAATTGTTAAGTAACTAAACTACGCATATTCGTGTTCCGCTTATCATAAGCTTTATTTTGATCTATGAACTATTATTATACGATTTACCATTCTTGAGTTATGCCCAGTCTATCAACTACTATCTCCCACATTCACAGCCACATTTGGCTAAATATTGTACAAATGTTGTTTCCTATTTTGTAATACGATGTGGTCTGTCTGTCTGGTATGTAAACCCAGTATGCATGAAATAAATGATTCATATCGCAGAGGTTGAGATTGGTGTTCTGGACTTAACAGGCAGGGCTAGCAGGGAAGCAGGACCGATGAGGACTCCAGGCTGCTCGTACTTGTTTTATGCGTCATTGGTCCGGTTGATAAGTCACTGTTCTCCAATTGGCGGTATCATTACATTATACATTAACAGGACACAGGGCACAAGTTATAACATCTTTGAAATCTATTACCTATATCTTCATTTTATCTTATCATTTTTTGTTTTATCATAGTGGAATTATCTTTGTGTATGCTACTCCTTAAACATGCTTATAATAATAATAATAATAATAATAATAATAATAATAATAATAATAATAATAATAATAATAATATAGTTATTTTTGAAATCAAGCATCTGATTTTAGTATATTTCGTATGAGCAATATAATTTACGATAAACGTTTCATTCTATCTGAAACTCATCAAGTGCATGTACCCTCATCTCAATGTTGATATTTACACTGAAACTTGAACCAAATACCTTTAACTTCAAATCCTAACATCTTATCCTTTGAGTTAACGAGTTCGTGCAATGAATAACTTGCTTATTATCATGAAGATACAAGTCATGGTTCTTATTTGTCTAATCGATGCCATTATATCTTTGAGCAAAAACACACAGCAAAATCAATAGTTTTAAATAAGGGTAGAGGGAGAGTTAGATGGCAGATACAGTTTAATTCTAATTGGTTAAAAAAATAATATTTTTCTATTCCATAATTATTGGTTTCAAACCTGATGATCTTGTTGAGCATACTGACTGAACATTTATGCACAATTCAATTGGTATTATTTGGCTTGTATCTTCCCATTGAAGTTAAAACTGCAATTGATCAATAAATAACTGATCATACCAAATCAAGTGAATTTAAAACTTCACCCCATTGCACAAGCAGGACTCAGTAGCTGAGTGGATAACGCGATGGCATTTGAAGCGAATGGTACTGGGTTTGAGTCCCAGAGTGAATATCAACTTTGAGATGCAGATACACCCAGCTGACGAGTCCCAAATAGGAAGAAACGCGTGTCCTGGATCCCACTGCTAGCCGCTATCTATCATTTATACATAATAACTGTATGTAATATCTTCTTTTATATAAACTGTACAGATGTCTGACCTTTTTTATTCTAATCAGTTTATTGAGTCAAATAGATTTGGGATATTTATGTGATGAAGTTTGGGTTATCCAATCAATTAAAGTTGGATTACATAGTCAGTGTAAGCATATTTTGAATTACCAAGTAATTATTAATATGCTAACTGATAGTAGAATATCTCATAACTTACTTTCTGTCACTTCATTTTCCGAGACAGGAGCAGCTGAAACATAAAATTAATGTAAATGTATAATGACTGTGAAAAAATTATTAATTCTTAGATCTATGAATAACTAATATTTTACTCCACAAGTCTCAAATAACTTAATTCTTTTCCGTCAAGAAAAACGTTGATAGTTCTGAAGTATAAAGAAGCCTGGGGTAACTAATTTTCAAGACCAATTTGTCCTATTGTGGGACTCCTCAGTAGTGCGCATCCACGATCTCGCCTCACGAGATTTGAACCCAGGATCTATCGGTCTCCCATGCGAACACTTGATCTCTAGACCACTGAGCTGACCGGCATCCAATAGCGTTAATGTCTAACTTCAACTAATTCATAGAATTGAGAGACACATCCACTATTGTCTTCAGTGTATGACTATCTCACAATAGACCAGGTGGAAGAATTTCTATTTCTGTTGTGCTTCAAGGTCATATATACTAACATATATAAACTGAGCTGTCCATTTATAATTTTGACTTTTCGAAGATTTCTCTGAGTATATTTCGATAGTAATCATATGACCAATTTACTATTCGGACACTTCCTTTTAATGATTTTGTATAATTAGCATTCTAATATTTTTATAAAATTTCAGATAATGAATATTTTTACAAAGTATAGTGATGTGTGAATGTTTCAGCATACAAATTCAATGTACTAAAATTACCATAAAAAAGTGATTAATGACCCTTTCTGATAATATTCATCATGTGCTCATTAGTGACTAACTTCAAGAGGTATTTCCGGGATTTCTAATGAGAAGCAGTGACCAGTGAAGTTTAATTGTGTCTATTGTGAGGCAGTGACTCACTGAAGACAATGGTGATCGGTGGCGCAATTTCACATATTGGTTTAAGTTGGACATTAACACCACTGAATACCGGCCAGCTCAGTGGTTTAGAGGTTAGGTGTTCGTGTGCAAGACCGATAGGTCCTGGGTTTAAGTCCCGCGTGTGGGGTCGTAGGTAAGCATCGCTGAATAGATCCATACTACGGTGAAACGGCAATCCAGTGCTACCACGTTTTCCACAGTGGTCTACCTTTGATTAAATCATGAATTTAACTACTTAAAATTACTACAATCTCCACAAAACTCCCTTTCTGATAAAAATTAAATTGTTTTTAATATTACTTACCCTGTTCATAATAGCATAAATTGATTTCAACATCACAAAAATCATGATATGGTACACGTGCTGGTGTTAAACCTTTCACATTATATGGTGACCAAGTATGATTCTGATCAATTGACCACCAGTTTGGATCACCTCGATTAGGTGCATCTACACAAATATATTCTTCAGTAACATGCATTCCAGTAATTTGTTGACATTTATCTCCAACCCTAAGTATATAATAATAATAACAATAATGATAATAGTTTTCATGCAAGTTGTTTCAAATTTAAAACGTCCTTATAATGACAACTTGATCGAATTACTTAGTTATACCACAGACGTATTGAACTTTAAAAACGTGATACATCACATTAACCGTTGGCAGAGAAACAAACGCTTATATAAATTACCTGTACAAATAAAAAGGACCAGTTTCAGCAGGGAAACCATCAATTGGACTGTCAACACTTGGTGAATCAGTTCGACAACAGAAATGATAATTGAGTCGGTCAATTTTTGATGTACTCTCTTTCATATGTGCTCTTATACGAATAATATCTGGTGTAGATGTTGTTGTTTGTTGTAGTAAATCTATGTTTCGATTTATTTGTGAATCTGAGGTGTCTTTGGAACGTGTCAGCTTTTCCGGTCCTTCAAGTATACTTAACAATCCTTCACTGAAATCTGGAAAATAGTGTAAAAAATGTGTATGAAAACAATGAATGAGTTTTGAACATGAATATATATATTCCAGTCCGTCTAATAAATGCGCTTACTGAGCTATAAATAGCTATTTTACAACATTTAAGGTACTTTAATTTTATCCGTTCCAAACTATCATAAATGCTTTCGTTCCATCTCTATTTTCATTGTTCAAATTGTCCCTAGAAGTTTTCACATACCAGGCTTCTTGGTTGCTTATAGTTTGATGTTTTAGTGTCTTCAAATCGTTCCACTACTATGCCATTATGACCATTTTGTGTTTGAAGAATGAAAAAAGTCCAAGGATAGTAGATCCACTGAGTAGAAAGTGAGATCAAGAGTGACGATCCAGTTATCCTAAGCTTTGTAAAACGATGTTTTTGTGACCTTTATTCGCATATTAATTGGATATCACACATCTATATCTTTGATCCATAACTCTAAATCCAACTATTTCAGGATGTCATGTGATGATTACCCAAAATCATTAGCGATAACTGTCTCCATTCATTCACAGCTAAACTTCATCGGTAACGGGTTCCTAGGTTCAAGACCTCTCGGCGTCGTGAATTTTTACTGCTAAGAAGTTTCATAGTAGTATTAAATAGCTGTTTTCTGATGCCCGACCTTCAATGGTAAAAATAACTTATTTTCAAACGTAAGCGAATTAACTTCTTGAAATATGAAGTAGGCTTAGGCACAAACTTGACGGCAGTTTGCTCAAATTTTTGGGTCGCCATTTATGTCCGTCAACCATGAGTATTCAATGTGAATCTAATTACCGAAGAATTCGTCAAATAACACACTGAAAGGTTGATAAATACAGAATTCATACATCAGATATATTCAGTGATGTACAGAGATATCGTGGGAGCTAGCTCGATTGTAAACATACGCAATTGACTATGAATAAAAGATAGTCACTGTCTAAATATTTTTCATGCCAATGCTTTTGTAATATTCATAAGTCAAATACTTATAGTATAGGAATTTAATTGAGATTCTTTGCTGAGAATTGTTGGGCGGTCGTTAGAGTTTAATATCGACAATGTGCACTTCTTATATAAGATTCCAACTGGCTACTTTAGTCAGTAAACTAAGTGTAAAGAATTAGTTTTTATTGGCTAAGCTGAACCAAGTTAAATGAACAAAATCACTCATTAATGTATAACTGTTTTTCGTAAAAAGTCAAACCCTATTCTTAACTAACAGGGTATATCTGTCTCTTCAGAAAGTTAAGTCATATCATGACCAGTGGCATATATCCATCAGCATTCCACCTATTATTTAACCATTAAACAACTTACCTACTGGACAGTTACCATTGACGCGTAGTACACAGTAATGACCAGCTGGAAGAGATTCTTCACCTCCATAGTTTCCTGTACGATGTGCAGTTTGATCATCAGTGAATACACAATAGTCCAACAGTATATCTTTTTTACGCTTAAAATAAACTCCATCTAGATGAATTGGCTATTTAATGGTATTTTAAACAAAAGGAAATGATCAGTAGAAAGAATATGTTACATTTACATTAGAAGTATTTTAAGGTTTTTGTAGCTTTTTATTAATTCAGATGTTAATTATATTAGTTAGGTGGTTGTAGGCAGTCAACAGGAAATCATATTTGATCTAAGGTGTACACTAGTTGATAGCTATCAGCAAGGTTTACCTGCAATTTTGAGGAGAATGGTATTCCTTATAGGTTTTGAAACCCTCATCACTTAATTTCACGGCGTGAGGCATTTCATGCTGATTACCTTAAACTACCTAACATCTTAATTAGTTCAGGTAACCCCGAATCACTTCAAATATCGGTAATATCGTAACTTGGTCGATAAAATAGCTTGATCAATACTGAATGCCTTGACAAATAAGCCCATAGTCCTTACTAAGTGATCAATTAATCATAAACTTTATTTGATCGTCAGCATTTCATCCTCTATGGGACTCGTCAGTTGTACAAAATGGGCGTCCTGCATTCCACTATTAGCCACCATCCACGTTTGCTTATAATGCTTGTGACTCAAGGCCTCCCTGATCAGTTATTTAAGTCACTGAATCACCATGTGACAGTACGTTGCAGAATATTGAGGCAATCCAAATAGGATGCACATATGTCAATAAGACACTAATCCATTGCGGTCCTAAACATCAATGAAAAGATTCTAACAAACAATACAAAATGAATTTATCAGTGTCTCTCCTAGTAGTCAGTCCTTTACACAGAGCTTCAAACGAAGTACTTTTTCTGTTTATTTCCTTTTAAAAGATGAATCTCAAAATTTGACTTATATTTGTGATATGTCCAACTAGAATGAATTGTGATTAGTCAGTGAATGAAGACAAATGTGATCAGCTAAATCAAATATGAGGTTGTCTTATATTATGAAATGTGTCTCATTTTGATCCAAATAATAACCTGCTCCGTACTTGCGCTAATATGCTCTTATTCTAATCATATCCGATTCTTGATCGTTGGTTGGATAACTGAAAATCGTTATCCAGTGTTTATTGCTAGTAATCGAAACAATTCAATTCATTCAGGCTGCTCTAAACATTTCTTATTCTCAAACATAATACTATCCTCTGTTGTTTGCGTATACTTAGGCATGAATCATTCAATTGTTAGCATAGAGGGTTTATGGAGATTGTTAAATTTGAGATTTCACATAACGGATTGACTTTAGCTGGAAAACTGTCTAACAACTGAAAGTACTAGAGAGCTATTTTGTCCTTATATGATACTCGTCAACTGTGTACATTCATGGCTTCATAATAGATTGAATCCAGGATCTTTAGAACTCGTGACGAGTGTTTAGCCTTCAGATCAATGTCAGCATTATATGGTGGACACTTTTATTTTCAATCATTTCTAAGTAAGTTTTAGGTTAACAAGACTGTCAAGATTGAATTGATAACTGTAAGCTTATTAAGGTCGATGACTAATCAGTTAATAAATAAAGATTTTAAAACAAACTAAAATATCAGTAACACTAACTTGTGAATAGTGAAATCCATATCTATCTTGTTGATGTCGCATTGTTGCTTTTACAGAACCTTTTGGACAATCATTTAATGATTTTGGTATAGCATAGTTTGCTACAGGCCAATCTGTGTAATACGAAGTAAAGAACATATGCTGAAATAATCACGAAGTTATCATATCAGAATAGAATGCGAAGCTTATAGAAGTGGTTCTATTCTAATCTACTTTTTCTTTTTCACCAAAAACTCTATTCACTAATGGCTGTGTAATAAGAAGTGGTTATTGTCGAAGCTCTCCATTATTTGAGTGAGTTCTCGAAATTTTAGAAGGAAATCAGTGCTGAATGACTTCGTACATATCTGGATTGAAAAAAAGTTAGTCAACAGGAAACCTCTGACCTAGGTTTCGTGCTATTCGGCACTCGTCAGCAAGGTGTACCTGTAATTTTGATTGAAATAGTCGTTACAAATCATATTGGATGATCTTAACTCTATATCCTAAATCGATTAAAGTCGGAAATATGTACCAGTGAATTTTAATTAAGGGGTTTAATGGCTAAGCACCCTCCACGAGATTTAAAGATTTTGTGTTCAGTCTTTGAGGAGATCGTGAATGCTCACTGCTGATCAGTTCCAAACTAAGATTAAACAGTTATCCATTAATAACACCTTTTCATTGTAATCCTAGATGAAATCATCGCATGACAAATGGCCCCCAAATATAATTCATTTTATTCATTTCAAAATATTAATCAAATTTTCATATTTCCACACTTGATGATTATACTATTTTTTAGGACTTAAGGTATTTTCATGCCTATAATTTTAGCTCATTTTTTTAAACTGTTCAAATTCATTATAAGTAGAATAGACGATTATAAAAAAATAATTCCAAACTTACTTCGATGATCATCTGTACCGGGTGTTTTACCTGTACCATATTCACAATATATCACATGTACAATATCATTTTCCGACCATATACCAGTTTGAATATCAAAATGTAAACTGTTCGATTTGGAGACATTGAATAATGTAAGTAAATTTTTATACTGTCCAAACAATTGCTTATTTTGAGGACGTGATGATAATGAGACATTCTCTGGTATATACATACTTTCAACAATACGTCGTTTCAATTGTATATCACGAAATTGAGGGCAGTAGTTTAAGTCTTTTAAATATTTTTGTGAGTTAGTTTGTTCATACGTAGTTAATACTTTGGTGCCGGTGAAATTTTTCAATTCCCTCTTGTCATCCTTTGTTGGCCAACCCAAAGTGACAAATGAACGAACTGTTGGTGTGTTTATTGATGTTGTTGTTGATGATGATGATGTCTGATTAAGTTTATCCACTTCTGGAATATATTCTTTAATAAGGCAACAAATAACCGTATTCATATATGGTGCAGCACCGACTTCTCTAAAGACTACAGCAGAAAAATCAAGAACAAATTAACACTAAAATTCTCTGAATAACAAAGTAATTGCTTGTATAATTTACGTCATGAACTGACCTTAGTTAAATAGCCATTTGAAATCAAGAAGCATTGAACAACTGTTTCGGCCCCAAAACGAACTACTTAGAAGTGCACATGCGCGATCGTATTGGTGATTTTGCCCAAAATTTTCAAGTTTCTTGATGAGAGCTTAACCTTCACACCTCTGAGCCTGTATCTAATGATCTACATGTCTACACGGAGTTCTATATGTTTAACGAAACAGCTCTTCAATACTTCATGGTTTCCTGTAGTTATTTAACTAAGATCAATTCATAATGTAAACAATAAAATTCAACAACCTTCATAAACCTCCTGCAATAAGAGTAACCGCTTGTTGGAATAAAAAGTTATAACTTGTAACTGGTAATTGAAAATAAATTAATTCGTAATTGATAGTTTGTCTTTGGTTCAGGCTTAGCTAAGTGAATTAACTGAATACTGAGGTTTCTTCAAAAATTATTTGTGTAATGATCTTTACAAGTATCGTATTTCATGCTGAGCTAATCAATGAATGGAGCAGATATCTACAGATGGCATTGGATGATGGTTGTACAACATCGCAAATTATTTAAATTAAGCAGTATGAAACACTGGACATTTACCAAGTAATCTAAAGTTTAAGCTATCACAGCAAGATCAAAAATTCATGGATTCTATCAATGGTTAGATTTTAGACATACACTGATGAAATATCATTTTCTCAGGAGAACTAGAGATCCAGTGCTTCGAATTTATTACTCAAAGTAAGCTTGCTAGTTAACTATATATGTATTATATCTTCATATTTTCTTCAACAAATTCACTAATTATCAGAAGGGGTATTATGGAGATTTTATTAATTTAATAGTTGAATTCACGAGTCAGTTAAAGCTAGACCTCGATGAAAAACCTGAAAGCAAAAAAGACCGTTTCGTCCCACAATGAGACTTCTCAGCAGTGCACATCCACGATCCCGCCCGCGGGATTCGAACCCAGGACCTATCGTTCCAGCGCGAGACCGATAGGTTTTGAAAGATAACATTTAATAAAATGTTCACTACGATTTCCACCTTATTATTACTTCACACTGAGAAAGTCTTGACGTCATCTCTAGACTCTGTTGTTTCATTAATACCTTTGTATTAGGTAAAATTTTATGCAAAATCTTCTAGTTTTCATTTACGAAGTTAACTATGAATAATCAGTAAATTCTCAAAAAATTTTTTAAACTATTTATGACTAAAAACTGATCAAATTAGAAAACAAATTTATATTTCGGTGCATAATTTAATCATAAACAAATGTCACCTAATAAATTAGTGAGGGCTCATTCCTACAGGAGGACAGTCGTGACTCGAATAGCCCGGTGGTAACGTCTTTGACTGTGAAAATAAATAATACGGGGTAGAATCCGTCAGGGAGCGTCAATTCCCTCAAGATTACAGGTACATCTTGCTGACGAGTGACAAGCAGCATGAAACCTAGTTTTAGGGTTTCCTGTCAATTACCTGCAACCACCATCTCATCTCAACATAGTGCACGCAATGTCGAGTCACCTAGACTAGTGACCACATTACAACTTGATCGATAGGATTTTTGTTCTTTCGTTCCCATATCAGTCATTTTTTGTTCTCGTTTTCTTTTATTTGATGTTCTGCCTCTAGGCATTTTACTTTTGATTGATGATACATACTACTTATATTTAACGACGTCAGTAGCACACATCACAATACCAGAATGAAACAAATATCCATTGCTATTTAACTTTCAGCAACACTGTAAATAAAGTTTATCTATGATAAATACAATATAGAAAAATGTCATTATTAATTTAATTCAAAGCTTTCTTACATTTATATGGACAATTACCAAATACTGATATACAATATCCAGTTGATGGATGAATTAATGTGGGAATATTTTCCAAATTCAATTCATTGAAGCATATATCACTTGAATCACTTGTACGTGTTGTCCAACGTGGTCGTTTATATGTTAACCATTGATCTTGCACTGAAATTAAGCATAAATTACAAATTATAAAACGAGATTAGTAGTAATGTTTATGGTTAATACACTCGGTTAGTGGAAGTTGAAATAATCTGTAAGAAATGCCATATGTATATATCATGATTTGAGTTTTTCTACTGATGATCTTGTGGAATGAATGTGATCAGTCTGTTGGTATATCTAGATCTTTAGTGCAATACCTAGTTAAAAACGTTTTCCTACCCACTGAAAACGTTGGCAGCTATCTGAATTAAGTAGATCAGTAGTTAATGTGTTGCTGTTTGGAGTACTAGATTTGAGTTTCACCATAACCATAAACACAATGATCCAGTAGATGTAGCTGCGGAGTCCTAAATATGATGAACCGTGACTCTTAGATTCCAATGCTAGCCACAATATAACTTTACCAGAAAAACAGAGCATTAGTCATCTCTAAGTTGTAGATACTTTTGAATGATGAGTTCCAACTAACAAGATACTTAGATACAAAGCTTTCTATTAACCAGTCATCAAGAAATATCATTAATCATCCCATTCTTTCTTTGGACATGTTTTAACATAGCGAGGTTCGAAATAACAGATGAACAGTAACGTTTAACAAAATTACGGTGTAATCTAGAATAGTGATTTTGTCATAAACATTTATGTAGCTCAATGGACGCTTCATCACCTTTTAAAATTCTGATACCTCAGATAAAAGAACACATTATTATGGCACATACTACTACTACTACTACTACTACTACTACTACTACTACTACTACTACTACTACTACTACTACTACTACTACTACTACTACTACTACTACTACCACTTCTGTGTTGTGTGCTACTGATGTTGATAGATATAAGTAGTATGTATCACCAGTCGAAAGTAGAGTGCCCTTTTGGCAGAAGGTTGAGAAAATCAAAGAGAAGAGAACGAGAACAGAGAGTGATTGGTGTAAATACGAAAGAATAATGAAGTCTGAGATGATTGATTGACATTTTGCAAATGAAGTATTCACTGTATGGTTCTCAAATTTGACTAGAGCATTCTGTAGTTTTATATTTAAATACAATCGGTTGTCTCCACTAATGTTCTCGTTCACTAAAATAGCTTTTGTTATTCATTCAAATTATTCAATTCAATCTCTTTGTTACACTTGATCATATTTGAATTAACTCACTTATATTAAAGAATAATGCAGATAAACGACCCAATTGGCTTCTTCTAAATCCGACCCCTTTAATTTGATCATAAAAAGTACAGTACAGTAATACATTAAAGAATGATTTTAACAATTCTAAAATTGATTTGATCACAAGTCAAGATATTAAGATTATACTTGAATTGAATTTAGTTTATTGTTATGCTATCGGATAGTCCGGCTTAAATGCACGCTTCTTATACGTTTGCTCAAACACAAACGAAAGCAGGAATGTTGAGAAATGATTAGGAAACCTTCAGTGGTAAACTTAATCAATTAGCACACAAAAACACAGATATACATACATTGATGAGTCGACTTTCTCGAATAGCGTACCTTGTTTATCGTCACCTACATATTGTTTGACCTTAATGTGATATGTGAGTAGCGGTAGGTGGAATGTCTGGACTTGTCTGGCATATCATTTATCATAACTTAGTATAACAATCAGTTTAAGGTTAACGTTTTTTAAATCACCCAATCAAAACGTTAGATCTATGCACTATTGAATCCCGGCTTAATGGTTTAGAAGTTAAGTGTTAGCGAGCGGGACTACAGGTCATAGGTTCGACTCACAATTAAAGTATCATGGATAGATACCGCTGAGAAGTCCCATACTAGGATGAAATAGCCGTCAAATACTTCCAAGTTTTCAGCGGTTGTTCAACTTTGTTCGGTACGTGATTTCAGTGAAAAGAATTACTGTTATGACGATTGAACCTACTTTTTCCAGGTAACTTTGAACAGTATTTTGGCACAGAAGTTTTATTATTATCACTCCCGTTTACAGTGTCATTTAAACTGGAAACAACACGTGGCCATACCAGCATTATATGTGATCTATCTATTTAAGAAAAAAAAGTACCAAGAAGACAAAATGTGATTAATTATTATTATAAAAAATGAAGAAAAAAGCTGACAAGTCGAAATAATTTGAAATAAACAGCTGTATTTCACAAGATCTTAATTTCAGTCCCTAACAATTTGATTTCGATGACTAGATCAGTCAGTTAGATACAATGTAGGACCTGGCCTGACAGTGTTACTGGACTTTATGCATAAACTGTCATGTGAAAATGAAGATTAGAGTTAGTGATACGTTTATCTGCCTAATCCATAAATTAACTGAAAAGAGTAAACAAAATTACTGCCAAGATAAAATTCTCTGAAGTGGAGTGGTATAATTCCGGAGCTTTCACTGTTTATTGTCTGAAGTGAACGATACTCACAGTTCATTCTCCTTTGGGACGAAATATTGCACATGAATCAGTTAAAAGTAGATGTTGTTCGCTGACTGAAACCTTTTTGTCAAGAAACTCAGTATTTATAATATTACTATCTACTACGTAAGTGAGATGTAGAAGTGGCTACGATGCTGTAACTGACAGAAGCAAAGAAATAAGTATACAGATTGTTGGTGTATAAACTTTTCTTCCTTTTGATTTAGACAAGGACATGTAGATTGAAACATTATTTAAGGGACTAGTGGAAATCTTCGAATAGCGTGTTTTAAGACGATATATGAACACAAATACGTGATATGTTTAAACATACCCAGTCTATCAGCTGATAGGGCTCCATGATTATGTTTGAGAGTTTATCAGCATATTTCAAACTTTGTCAAATGTGGATTTTTTAAATTGAAGTTGTCGATAATACCTGCATTTCTAAATAACCGTATTACATAACTCTTTCATTTCTTTCGAATCTGTTGCCAGTTGGCTATTCAAATTGTAGTTTACATTCATCACCGATTGATACCAAGTTTCTGATAATAAAGACTTCAGTCCGAGACTGTTAGGTTTGAAGCTATTACGAGTTCACTTAGTATGCGAACGAAACAAAGACTTGTGACCGTAGACCAATAAGCTAGCTATTTGATGCGTCCCAGCCCCGCTAACTAGAGGAAGAAGTCCAAGCTTGGAACGGGAAAGTATATTCCGTAAGCCAGAAGCATGAGTGAATAATAACAGACACAAATCAAACGTATATATACAGCATAAAACTGTCCTTGGAAAGCGTTGCGAAATAGCATACTAAAAATACACAACGGACCATTAGCGTTAAAGATTCTCCAGAGTGAGAAATACGACATGAAGGTGAAAAGAGCGCTTTTGGTCCGAAGGCAAGAAAATTTAAATTTACAAAATAAAATTACAAGATTAAGACATTTACCAAGTGAGTTCTGGGGATCTAACATCCTCAACAGAGACCTATGTGGTTTGGATCTAATTGCTAGTGGGGTTGTGAATGACCGCCACTCAAGAATCCCATACTAGAACGAAATAGGTTTTCAATCATTTCTAGTTTTCACTTCTATCCCAAATGAAATCATTCTGTGACAAATTAAAGTAATCTTCAGTAGACTATCAACTAGTGCACTTGGTGTTAGGCAAATAAATAAACAAACTATTTTTACCATCGAACCACATAAAAAAGATGGATGAGGACAAACTCCGTTCTCATTCACAATTTTGACCTTGCATCTTGTAACCAACCAAAATGAAGCGGGAATAGTTATTAACAGTATTGTAATCCGTTATTGAGGTGATATATCGTTCTCTGTAGTTTCTGATGTAAAGTTTGCTACGATAAAAATACCACTCCATCATGCTATAAACGTGTCAAGTGTAGCGCACTCAGTCATGATGGACGAAAATTACAAGATAGTTAAAGTCATACTTCGAATTATTTCTCTCAGGTAAATTATTCCAAAATATCTACAATTGAGTGATTCAATAAACGAAAACATAACCGTATTTGCTGACTACGATACACCTAGATGACTTGACAACGCGAAGTTTTACCAGAGACGAAAAAGGACACTTTAATGAATGTAAAATGTGTAACCAAATTCGATTTAAGGCATCCCCAGGTGTCGCCGCTGAATAAATGTGGTAACCTCATTATCTAACCTCACCTAAAATGATCCAAGACAGTCTACTCTATCTTAAAAACGAGGCTCAACCCAAAATAAAAACATGCCTTAAAAAACTAACTTTCTGCTATGAAATCCCCTAAGGTCCACTAAATGAGGTTTCACCAAACCCAAATGGCTGGTTCACTGTGCCAAGTAAAATAGTTACTTGTAAATGAATTGCTTGGTCTCTAGCTTTCCCTGTTCACCTTATTAAAAAAATATAAACTTACTTCCTTTTGGGTAATAAACACATTGATGTAATTCAGCATCAACACTGAAATTCTCTATTGCTTGACATGGTTGATAAACTGCAGGCAGTTTAAACGGGGCTTCTAAATTAATTGGTAATTTAATTGCTCCAATTGATTCTTCAGTACGACAACATGTACTACCAAGACTTTGTAAACTGAAACCGAATCGATCGACACCACTTCTTGATGTGAATCCTAGATTTTAGGAAAAATGTTTTCATCTGTATGAATGATGAATAGTTGTTAAGTAAAAATAATTTTTAAAAGCCTTTCACTCTAATAGTAATTATGCATTTACTAGCTTCTGGCCTCAAGAAAATGTTTAACTCGAGAAAGAAGTCGTTAGTGACGAAGTTCAAAGATGTTAATCGTATGGTGTCAATAAGTGATAATCATTCAATATTACTGTTTTTTATGAAGTTTGACGGTTCAATAAGGTCCAACAATGATCGAAGACTCAATGGTAGTCTTTCATTTATTCAAATCAAACATCGTTTTCATATTATTTTATCCATTCACATCAGGATGAAATAACTATTAACCAGTTAGACCAAGAAACACACTCTCAAACTTCATGAACAGCGCTAGGCATTCAACATTAGTTAATTGTTTGAATATTGGTAGCCTTAAAATACATTTTGAATGACCTTCCAACTTGATAAAAGTTTCAATAACGTTGTACAACACTTAAATCATCCTAAAAATCCCCAGGCTTCATTCAAAAGTATATTCTATTGAAAAGCCAGTTATATACATATACCAGTTAACCAATTGATTTAATCTCAATGACTATCACTACTAATACCAGTACTTATACTGATACCACCACTACTAATACTAATACTAATACCATTACTTTCTCTGTCATAATTAACAGTGTTTTCTGTTATATCCGGACGCAGAATAGACGAATAGTAACTGGTAGGATCTGTTTATGGACTTTTATTATATATGTTCTTATTATATAACTATTAATTAACTATGTTATATGTATATTCATATTCCTTTTATTGTAAGCTTCCATTTAGCTTATTGACAACTATTATACGGTTTACGATTCTGAACTTATTCTCAATTTATTAGTTACAGTCTCTCACAATCACAGCCACTTTTTGGTCTGATATTATATAATTGTTATTTTCTGTTTTGTAGTATGATGAGGTCTGATTTGTTTGCATATAAACTGCGTATGCCTGAAATACACCATTCATACAGCCGAAGCTGGTATTGGTTTTCTGGACTGAACCGACTGGGTTAGGCTAGAAGCTACTATATCAGAGGAACAATAAGAACTCAGAGTTGACTCTAGGCTGCTCGTATTGGTTAACACGTCATTGGTTCGGCACAGCGCCAAGGTCATATAAGTCGGCATTCTGAATGGCGATCTAGTCACGTGATAATCAACAGGCCATAAGGATGTAACATTTTCCATCTGTGAAATTTACCAATTAATGCTGAAATTTAGTCGCCAAGTTAGATAGTTGTTTGCTGCAGAAATCCCAAACTATCCTATTGAATAAGAGGTAAATATTGCTCGAATCGAGTTCATGACTAAATATTTTGATACAGCATAATTAAATAAATCAGATAAACAAATAAAACTAAGATTACCTGTAGGGCATGTAGAGGATAATTGTAAGAAACAATATTTCCCAGGTGGGAAAACTACCGTAGAGTTCGCTTCAAATCCACAAGTGGCCCCACCATAGCTCATAACTTCTCGATGTCCCAAACCATCACAATCATAACGAAGTGATTTCACCCCTAATTTAACTACATATTAATATAATTAATAATAATCAAACAGAAAAAATATTAAGCAAGGAGTTATTTACTACTAACAAAAACATTCAGTAGATAAAATTTTATTGTTCAATAGGGGTGAAACAGGTTGAAGAGGTAGATTTCGTTTCATTCATCACCAAGATGGATTTGAACATGTTCTTCTACTGTAGTATGGTAGAGAACCAAAGGATGAATGGTCAGAGATTCAACGAAAATTGACTAAGACAACTGTGTTTTAAGACAAAATGTTTGAGGTAATCAGTTGCTTTATTAACTCACGTTCGTGATTAAGGTATTTGTACACACTGATTATCAGCCGTTAAGTACTATGTAGAAATACGCTTAAGTTGGTGGAGTAGTGCTTAGTATTTCTCAAAATCTAACAAAGTAGTACGTGGAGGTTAGTGTAAACACAAATATATCAAGTTTCTATGCTCACATACCATCTAAAGGCCAAAGGGTGGATGAGAGTTTGTAGAAATTTGTTCCCAATTATGTAATCTCAGTTAATGAATGCATTTATTTACCAAAAAAGTTAAATCCCCTTTGTTTTCTCAATTGAATTGTAGCTAGGATCAATCCATAGTGAGATTCTTGATACATATAGTTGAAAGAGTTCCATACTAGAACGAAACATATATTCAGTGTGTCCTAGATTTCAATAGTTTTTTTAGGGAAAGTCACGGTCCATGATGTGAAATGAATTTAAGTTAAACATCCAAACTAATGTCTCGTATCAGTAAATGAAATTTTATTTACTAAAACATCGTTTCATTGAAATCATGAACCAATCCAAGTTAGACCACCACTGGAACCCTAGAAGCACTGGTCAGCCATTTCGTCGCAGTATGGGACTCCTCAGCAATACGCATACACAACCCCTCACATGGGAATCAAACCCAGGACCTTTATTGCCGCTCGTGAACATATAATCTCTAAGCTAATGAGTCGAGATCCAATGGTGTTGATGTCTAACCTCATATTTGATGAGGCTGGTCATTTCTGTTTCCATTTATCAACCAATAGCAGGTTATCTCATCTTGATGCATCAAAACTATTGAGACTCAGGCATCAAAGAGCAAAACGTTTTTTGAACATCCATTCACAAAACCAGTACACTCCCACTAGTGATTATTTTCAATACTTTAACTCATGGTTAAGTACTAATAATCAGGCTCATACAACGAAAAAACATTTGTTTACTGCTTCCAATTTCGATAATTTTTTCTGGTTAGCGTTTTTTTAGCGAGTTAGTTTTCTACGGGATGTGGTCGCTAGTCCCATGCCCAACCCTCCTTCTCTATCCGGGCTTGGAACCGGCAGTAGCCCTAGAGGGGCTCCAGGCGGAGGAAAGCACCTAACTGCGTCACAAGGCAAGTCCTCACATGAAGTCCTGAAGGCCAAAGGAAAGTAAGTAAGTAAGTCCAAGTTCTAAAACTCAGGACACGGGTTCTAGAGATCCTGAGTTTGATTCTAAGTGGGACTGCAGACAATATTTGTTGATTCATTCCATGCTAAGGTGTAAAATTTTACTAGTTTTCAACGGTTGTCTAAATTGACTCAGTTTTTGATACAAAGCAATGAAATGCAATAAAGCTAAAATCGATAACTTAACGAAACGATGATTTCGGGATAACTTACTTTCTTGATTTAAATATTGACAGATGATTATGTTTGGTATTCCATCTAACTTAACTGGATTATCTGGTCCAATTAATTCAATTTGATCACCATATGGACGAGGAATTGGACGATTATACTATAATTTGGAATAAATTGTAAAAGTATTTTATTTAATAATCAAAAGAAATCAAGCAAACCTGAGACCTTTGTCAAATCGAAAAGTGTTTTATTGAATGATTCTCGGTAAAAAGCATGGGAAAATATTAACAATTTTGCATTGATCACTGTGAAGACATTCAAAACTTTAAAGATCTTTATAGTCCTTAGTAAGTGAAAGTGAGTACTTTTGTAGATCTATTCGAAAAAAAGGTCGAATCAACTCACAAATGTCATTTCCACGTAATTACACAGAATCTTTATCCTTTTCGTCATAGACCAGTTGAGTTCAACCGTGTCTGTTGTGAGGCAGTGACTCACAGAAGAAATATTGAACGGTGACTCAATTTTATGGATTGGTTGAAGTTAGACATTACCACTATTGGATGCCAGCCGGCTCAGCGGTTCAGAGGTTAAACGTTCGTGTGCGAGATCGAACGTCCTGGGTTCACTGTCCAGCTTGTGGGACCGTGAATGTGCACTGCTGAGCAGTCTCGTACAAGGGTTAAATGACCACTCGATGCTTCTAAGTTTTCCATAGTGGTCTTGTTTGAATAAACTCATAAAATCAACTATTAAATCACTACAATCTACACAAAACCCATTTTCTGATAATGGATTAATAATTCACTTCATTTCACTTACTTGTACTACTGTTAATTTAACATTGCCTGAATAAAATGTTGGACATGTTGGACCATTTTGTATTATAGCAAATGGTGATGTAATTCCTAATGGGGCTTGATAATTAATTTTATCTAATTTAGTATCATCTTCATAATCAGTAAAATTTGCTAGTGAATTTACAGAACAACACAATTTTAAACGATAACCAACTTGTACAAAATTGATTTCATTTTGTCGTAAACCTAACCAAAGTAAATAATAACAAAATGGGTATATTAACTAAAGAGAATTTAGACTATGATAATATATAAAACAGAATTAAAGCGACCTCCAAAATGTCCTGGTACAGTCGAACGTGAAGAGAGTTCACTCCATGTCGCGAAATTCTCTCACATAACCACGCGTATACAGCTACTGTTTGGGTAGTCCTACTTAATGCCTTCTCGCGGCATTACTGTTTTTTACGAAGTTGAGAGGACGAAAAGCGAGTGTCCGGCTCTTTAACCGGGTTGGTGGACATGGAGAGCCCACCTAGTGGAGTTGGAAAACCCTCATTCCAAACCAATGGTGCACATGGGCTCCAGGATCCTGAGGGAACAAATGGCATATGAACCTATTGTTGGTTACCGGCTACCATGGAACTGCATGTCCTTACGTTGCTTCACTGCCTATGGAGTAGACCTTTAGGTTAAAGGCTCGAGATGTGGCCCCCTAAGAAAACCGCCTGCTTTAGTTTAGGCACCCAGACAGTACCAGAGCCAGCACACAAATCGATTATACGTATTACTGGCCTCATTGTAATTGTGTGGCGCATATATATTTGATACCCCTTTGTACCAATGTTTATGTGTTAAAATACACAAAATAAACCTGGTAGTTTCTGATTCTGTCGGCTTAAGAGAATTTCATGCACACTTCTACTATTCAAATAATCGTATTCTTGTTTATTCTCAAACATCATTCCACCAACTTAAACTTTTATTTTAAGAAATACTTAAACAAATCAGGCGTTTCTAATATAATCAACCCTTCCCCTCAAATGTTACATTTGTTTCCACAAAGTATCTTTTCATTATAATGATGAAGAAGCAATTATTTATTGATTATTATCAACATTTGACTTTCATTAACTACCTCTAAGTTACATGAAGCCCATTATTATTTTTTCTATTTTCGTTTGCATCAATGATCACTCATCCAGTGATAATGCAAATTAGAGGTTAAGCGTTCGCGCGCGAGACCGAGGGTCCTGGGTTTCAGTCCCGCGAACGGACTCGTGTATGAACACTGCTGAAGAGTCCTATACTAGGACGAAACGGCCGTCTAGTGTTTTTGTATTGTTGAAATTCAAGACTGAAATTTGATCAGTCTCTGTTGATATGCATAAATATTAAATAACTGCTTTAATACCACCTACAGACTTGAGTTTTGATTTTTTTTTGTAAACTGCAGCTAGCACTGGTATTGAAGATGCACGTTTCTTCTTATATAAGATTTATCAGCTAAAATACACCTGAATCTCAAATTTGATGTTCATACTAAAACTCAAACCCTAAAAACGTGAATCCATTGCTGTGGAAAGTTCAAACAAGTACCACAATTTTCATTCACAAACATGATATAGACATACTCTCTAAATGTATGTACGTCAACAAGGACTGGTTAGTTTAAGTCACAAATAACAGTAGAGGGATAAATACAGATCGTTTTACAAATAAACATCGTACTGGTAGACAACGTCCGTGTCGGTCTTGTAAAATATCAAAACTAAGCAGTTTATGTTCACTTGTTTACTTTTATCTTCTGATTGTTATCTAGGACTGCAATTGATCAGTTTCTTGTTAGCATATGTGCATCCTGTGCAAACTGCCTCAATATTACCTGAAGTCACAAGCTTTATAAGCAAAGATTTATAGTGAATACAACTTCACCCCGTTGCACAAGCAGGTGGCTATCAGAACCCAGTAGCTAAGTGAATAACGCGATGGCATTTGAAGTGAACGGTACTGAGTTCAAGTCTCAGAGTGAACATCAACTCTGAGATGCAGGTACATCCAACTGACGAGTGCCAAATAGAACGAAATACGCGTCCTGGATTCCACTATCCATCTTAGCTTATAAACAGTTTATGGTTAATTGTGCATATTTTCTTAAAGATAAAGATATTTAATGTTAATATTTGTAATATTACCTTGTGGACATTTATAGTTGTAACGTTTATCTTTATCAGTTTCTTGTAAATAATTCGATTTTACATTATCCAATGAATGTTCTGTTACTAAACAATAATTTCCAATCGGTAATTGATTTCTATTTGTTGTTGTTGTTGTGTCTAATTTGTAACGATTTGAAACTGACCAACATAAACTAATACTTGTACCAAGAATAAATACAACTCGTCGAGAGATTTGTGTTTTAACAAAACCAACTGGACATGTTGGTTCATTAATAAGAAGAGCTAATTGACTAACTAAAAATATAATAAATAATAAGATATAATTTGTTAGCTAACAATCATAGATAAATACATTTATACTGAATATCTATTTTCTCAATGGTTGAAATCATGAGTCAATTGAAGCTAGACCACCATGGAAAACCTGGAAGCACTTTACGAAACGACCATCGAGTGCTTCCAGGTTTTCCATGGTTGTCTAGCTTTAATTGACTCATGATCTCAAACATTAAAGTTACTATAATATTTACAAAAACTCTTCTGATATATTTATTTGTAAAACTGATTTCACATCGTTTGTTAAGGTTGTTGCACTGTTTATTGATATGCACTGATTTGATTGTGATCGATTAATATTTCTTGATCATTCGTCGACAAATTGGATCGAACATATCATGTGATCAAGTAATATGATCCAATAATCCTAGGGGTTAGTCTATTACTCATCTATAATGATTTATAATACTATCCAGCTCCTACTTCATTACTATTTCCGTTCTACATCTAGTCGAAATCATAATTTGTACTAGGTAACTAAAGTATTAACAATTTTAATCATTCTAGATTAATTTTCATCATGAAATGATGATAACTGGAAAAGCATTGAAGCTAAGAAGCTGTTCAATAGTAGTATTCACTTATGAGAGTCATACAGGATACAATAATAGAAATTACGTAAAAGTATAATATACTGACGGCCTTAAGTTAACCAATAAGGACTAAGATAACGCCTTATGTGTTTTTGAGAGAAATTTAAAGTCCAATGATAGATAGCTTTCATATTATTATTAAAGAAGTAAACCTTGGCAATATCTGGTTCTTGAAACGCTTTAAATCAATAAACAAACATGTTAAGGAACTGATAGTACTTAAGCTAAATTATCAAACAAACCTGCTTCTAAGGTGTTTGTTAAAGTACTTGATATAGTTCACTGCATAATCAAGAGTGTTTATTGAAGCTAGACAATATTCTTCCGATAGTGGAAGGAGTCAGCTCTCCCTCTCGAAATGCTTTCATATGGCCACGTGCATACAACCACTGACAGAGAAGTCCTACTCTTTGCCTTCTCGAGGCGGGGGTGTTGTTTACGAAAGTGAGAGAACGGAAAGCGAACGTCCGGCGCTTTAACCGGGTTGATGGATATGGAGGATCAGAAGGAGCCGAAGATATTCCATCCAATCACCTTTTGGAAGAATATTCTAGAATCCCTGTGTGTAGCTTTCCGATTATACAATGCTAATAACCCCCTATATGCGGATCGGAAGACTGTAATGATGATTTCGTTCTCACTAAAAACTATAAATACCTGACAATTTTGTACTATAATTGACACTGACTGGGAATAATATTCCTTTTATTAGTCTTCTGTCTTCGTATTGCGACTAGGAAGGGTTCTTGCGTTCTGGTGCTCACGTTATACGCGGTATATCAAGAACAAACTTCTAGATATAACAGTCATTCAATCAGTTCAATGTGAAAAAAAAGTTATGTTGAATCCGACGAGAAATAAAATTAATGTGATAATAGAAATAATGGTAATAATACTCACTACGAGTTTCAGCGTTTGGTATAAATTCAGATTTAGCTTCACGATATTCACAACTTATTTCAGGAAATAAATTTTGTAATACATCACTAAGTGTTTCATCAGGAAGAACATTACGAAACAATGGTGCAACAAGTCGATTTGTTCCTTTAACTGGTGGACATTGATAAATAGAAACAAATAACGGTGGATCCAGTACTGTAGATTGTGGAGTATATGAAGTTTCTGGATTGTACAATGATGTTATAGATGACGATGTTAAGGAAGAAGAAGAAGAAGAAGAAGAAGAAGAAGAAGAAGAAGAAGAAGAAGATGATGATGATGATGATGATGATGATGATGATGATGATGATGATGATGATGATGATGATAAAGAATCAGAATTTGTTATTTCTGATGCTACATTATCATCTGTATCATTTTCAAAAATAGAACGTTTCCATCTTGTTATCCATTTACGACGACGTAATGGAAAGAAATCACCAACTGTTATTCTACGCCGTGGTTTTAAATAAAACCAATCTTCATCTTCAGTTGTAAAAGGTGATATAGTCGTGTCTATATTACGTAACTCTTGTGCTTCTTTACCATTATTATTATTATTATTGTTACTGGTACTAGCGCCATAGTCTCCTTTATATTGTGAAACTTTTTCAATAGATATATATGGAGTTCGTGTAGAATTAGTCCAAAATTCAGGTTTTACACAACAAGTAATTATTTGTAAGATATTATCAAATGTTGGTCTCCATGCTGTTGGACCAGAGAGATGACCAATAAATTCTAAACTTGGTTGAAATCGTCTAGTACGCATAAAACCTGTTAATGTAATCAATAATTTTATTACATATAATAACAAACTATGATGTATAAATTACATATGAATTATCAGAAAGGGGGAGGGTTGTGGAGACTATAGTAATTTATTGATTGAATTCATCAATCAATCGAAGCTAAACCATCACAGAAAACCTGGAAGCACTAAACGGCCGTTTCATCCTACTATATGGGTCTCCTCAGTAGTGCGCATCCACAATCCCGTTCACGGGAAATTAATTAAGATGATAATTTGTAAAAGTCGAATTTTCCTTAAATAATCCTAACAGAAAAATGAATGTATGGTTTTGTAAATCGTGTGTATCTAACAATTAGTTGTATCATAATAACTAATGTCACAACATGATTGAAAGTACACTACTGAGCATTAGTGTTATAACTATACAATTTGTTATCAAAATGAAAAAAAATTATTTAGAACCATGGATCTCTGAAGGTATTTGACCTATATACTACTTACTTACTTACTTACGCTTGTTACTCTCAATGGAGCAGAGGCCGCTCACCAGCATTCTCCATCCAACTGTAACCTGAGCAATCCTTTCCATCTCTTCTCATTTGTTATATATATATATATATATATATATATATATATATATATATATATATATATATATATATATATATATATATATATATACCTGACACGAAATGTCATTGAGGTGAGACTATAATCTATGACGCTATAGTAACCTTGAGCATGTTCACCTACATACTAGGTCTAAATGAAGGTTTATAAATCAGTGTAAGAAATTAGGATTATGATTTACTATGAATGGTTAGGGTTAGGAGTTAGATTTAAAGTTTTCATGACGAACTGACATCAGCTAAAATGCCAAAAGGCTATTTAACGAAATTTCGCGCCAAAATTCAAGACCTGTTATTGTAAATTTGATTGGCTAGTCTCGCCGATATTACATTTAATAGAACAATTCACATGATTATTATATAAAATGCATATGGTACATTTATTAAATCAAATGTTTATGAGTTAATTTTAATAGAAGTTTATATTTCGCATATTCCAGAAGTAATTTGAAATCATTTATGTAGGAGATTTCAAAGATTACGGTTTCTCGGTATACTCTCTTATACTAATTAACTTTTGTGAGCACACTCACCTTTTAGTAACAAAGTAATTGTGAACTACCAGGAATTGATCCATAGAACTAAATACGATCTCATCAATGGCTGGAATTCAAAAGTCTATGTTGACCTATCTGGTAACGAGGATACTAATTATTAGTTTATCTATATGGTTATGTCAATCAAGATTAAAAATAGTCACTTGAAGTGTAATAAAGGAGTTGTCTTTGATTTTTTTTTGAGGTGATTTATAATTTTTATTGTCATAAAAACTCGTGTTTCATTCGTTTTGCGTGAAAAATAGTCCGTCTTGAAGCTACTCACTAGTGAGCACTCGGAGTTCTAATGAGTTGCCGTGACCAATACAGTTCAACTCGTGTCAGGTGGAGACAGTTATTCACCTCAAATAATGGATGAAGGGTTGGGCAAGATCATGGATCAATTTAATTTAGATATCAACAGCGTTGGATGCCGGATCATTGACCTAGAGGTTAAGCGTAAGCGTAAGGTTCTGGGTTCGAGTCTCTTGTGCGGGGTTGTGGACGTGCACTGTTGAGGGGTCTCATATTTATCGTTAATAATTTATATTAATCACATTAAACGTATCAGCATAAGACTATAGCAACTCTCCTACAATTAATTTCGATTATGGTCAATTTTGTTTAATCCCCTTTTACTAACTTATTTAGTAGACATTGTTGATAGCTTAGAAATCGCTCGATAAATCCTTATCTTTTCTATGTACATATGAACTCGAGTCCTATTATTCACCTCTGCTTTGCCAAGCTACGCCTTATTAAATTTGACTATAAATTTGCCACTGTACCTGCTCTCGAACACACATTCGTCTCTCTGCTTCAAACTTACTCGAGGTGCTTGTAGCTTTGTGATCTGTGCTATCCGCTGATCAGCTGTAGTGGCCCCTACTTATTCCCTTCTGATTTTAAACACCGTTAAGTTTTATATAATAACGGTTATCAAAGTAATTGATCAACAAATCTAAGCCAATACTTGTCTTATGAATTTTATTCGTAACATGAGTCGATTATATCAAGTTAGTTTCAAATATACATATGTGCACATGTGGTTCTCTTACCTGCTGGACAATACATTGTTTTACCAACAAGAAATAAACAGAATTGTTTGAATTTATTATATTTAGCATTATTATGCCTTTGATAAATAAAACCATGCGGAGCTACACAATAGTCAACGACAACAACAGTAGATGATTCCAATTTGACAAATTGTTTCTGAAGAACAAAATTTGGCATACATTGACTACCATTAATAAATAATGGATAACCAAGCGTCCCTGGATCAGCTATATTGTAGAAATACAAAAATAAAAATCATTGTATATAGGCAATGTCCATAACATTCTTAACAGTAGTTGTGCACCTACTTGTTAGTAGTTTGGAAAAAACAACGCAAATTTTGAACTAGGAGGAAAATATAGATACAATTCGGCGATAGTTTAAATTGAGATGTGAACAAAATGTTGCCAAGGAAATTTCACAATAAGGGTGTATAATCGTTTAGTAAGTAAACGAATGTTTATCGTCGACCAGGTTTAAGGCATAGCATTTCATTAAAATACCATAGCATGTGAATTAGAGATTGCTTGTAATAAAATGAAATCGTTCATGTTGAAATGAGTAATATGAAATGTTAACTTGAATCAGCTTAGACGTTAAGTGAAATTTGTGGGATCCATGTTTAGAATAAATATAGATCAGATGTAATGAGAGAAATTACAATGCGATTACAAATTTGATCCAATGTTCACTGGAAGACTATTTTGTATAAATTCATTTTTGTATTTGTTGTTTGAATGTTATAATTGATGTTTAGGACTACAGTTGATCAATCTCTTATTGGCATGTGTGTATCGTGTTCGGATTGCCTCGATATTGCTCGAGTTCATAAGCATTATAAGTAGAAACGGATGGTGGCTAGTAGTGGAATCTAGGACGTGCGTGGATAACGTAATGGCGTTTGAAGAGAACGGAACTGAGTTCGAGTTCCGGAGTGGATATCGACTCGGATTCAGGTACATCCATTTGATGAGTTCTAAATAAAGCGCAACATAAATCCTGGATTCCACTAATAACAACTATCTATCTGTGCTTATTTTGTGTGGATTTATATGAAATTAGCAAGAAGTAATAAAGTGGAGTGAATGGTAATTAGGTTAATCACGTATTCGGGAGATTAATAACAATATTCAGTCAATAATAATAATGACAAAAATAATACAGAGACATGTGAATAAAAACAGCAAAGACAATTATAGTTGTCTTCAAAAGCCTGTAAGTACATTAGTCAAATTTACTCATTCAGTAATTAAGATTACTATTTTAGTGTCGTGTATTATGTTAAGCTCATATACCTTATTCTGGTTTTCGGACAAGCCAGTCTACTCATTCTACTGGAGTCATATTTTCACCTTGTTAATTATCCACTTTTCAATCTTCACTGTTTTTATATGAGTGTATAAATGTGTGTACACATCTTATCCTATTCATCACATATCTGTAACTTATTTTTGTGTGACTATAAATATTGATTAACGCTTGACTAAATGGAGTTGGCTTACCCGCCATCTCCACTGCGCGTCGTTCCATTTCGTCCTATTCCATTCGCTTCGTATACAAATTATATGTGTGTTCAAAGGTCCATTCTCGTTATTTGACTTATTTAATTCCGTTATACACTGAAGGCGGATTAAGTCTATAAAGACATACGAGGATAGGCGACATATACAAATCAATAACAATCATTCATGCGATCCACTTAGAGTCAGATCTTAGGCCATTAAAGTGAAGAGCCCGTTAACAAACATCGTACAATCTAAATGACGACAAAATAAGGGGTCCCACACTATTAGTCAAGATAAGAGAAGCAATTGATGGTATTACTTTTGTACACATAGTTCCAATTTTATAATCCAAAAAATGGCTACTATTTCTTCTATTTGAAAAATTTTAAGTCTAACAGAATTTAGCAAACAACTGAATGATTTCATGAATTTACTGTCAATAGAGTTATTCATTTTCAACTAGTTTATTGTATACTACTTATAATGAACTAATACAAGTAGTATATATCAAGAATTGAATGTAGACTTCTAACTAACAGAATAGGAACATACCTATAAGTGATTATAACAACAACAACAATTTCAGAATGATATAGTTTAATAAGAGCCAATTCATAGAGGATATACAAATGGTATATTCTTTTTTATATTTCACATATATATATATAATATATGATGATTTTACCTAATCTAATCCATTGAATTACCCTATTGTAGCCTTCATTCATTACACTAGAATAATGACATAGTATTTCTATATTGATCAATGGAATTTCACTTGTATTGTTTACATTGGACAAAGCTTAATTAATCAACAACCTACTTAATGTTTACTTAATAATAATAATAATAATAATAATAATAATAATAGTAATAATAATAATAATAATAATAATAATAATATGAAGGCCTATAATAATGTATTTATAATATAAACGTTTATAAAAAGGATTTTAAGTGAAAACCTTCAATTATTTACTTCATTCCATTTCAATATGAATAACTAACTCTATATAAATAGGCTAATATATGTTAATTGACTTGAATAGTTCCATTTAAGGATAAATCTATTTTACTAATTTCAATGAACTAATAAGTAGTTCAAATGATTGAATAAAATATTGAATTGATTTGTTAAAGATTTAGCCAATTTTCATCTCATTTAAAGTATATTATAAGTAAAGTTGAATGATGGTCAGAGGTGGAATCCAAGATCAGAACTTGTCAGCTCGATATACGGCTAACGAGTCCCATGTAGGACGAAACGCGCGTCCTAGATTCCACTGCCAGCCACCATCCATCTTTATTTATAAAGCTTGTGAATTAAGGTAATATCAAGGCAATACGGATAGAATGTACATATGTCAATAAGAGACTGATCAATTATAGTTCTAAACAACAATGGGAAGATATAAGTAAACAATACCAAGTATGGTGTTAATTGTTTATGGCTAAATATTTTTATTATATGTAAAATATTATGATGAAATTTGGTGGAGTCTAATCTACGTCAGGTGGAGACAGTTATCCATCTCAGATAATGAATGAAGGGTTAAGTAAGAACAAAGATAAATTCAACTAAGTCAGTTAGAAAGAAAAAAATATTTGGTTGATGTTGGACCACCATTGAAAACCTGGAATCACTGGACGGCCGTTTAGTCCTACTGTGGGATTCCTTAGCAGTGTGTATCCACGATCCCGCTCGCGGAGTTCGAACCTAGGGCCTCCAGTCTCGAGCGTAGACGCTTAACCCACTGGACCACTGAGCCGGCATCCAATGGTCTTAATGTCTAACCTCAACAAATCCACGAACAATTGTCATTTTAATCGTTTAAAGATCCCCATCATATTAAAAGACTAGTATTTGAACGACTAGCAAATATTAACTCAGAGATCATGGAGGACAATACAAAAAAAACGCCGGAGAACTGCGACTAGTGTTTTCTACGCGCCCAATGGTGACATCGAGGCTAAAAGATTAATTATCTAGAATGAACACCTCATTTTGTATTTATCAGTTCGACTGCTCCTGTGGAGCGAGTTATATTAGTCGAAGTTCTGGGAATTTACATTTTCGTGCTCGTGAACACCTCCCAGCGTAGCTAAACAAAGGTTTGATGAAGAAAGTGAATAGCTCGATACTGGCCCATTTATTACAAACTGGTCATTGTGCCAGTATAAACCAATCATTTTCAATCATTTATAAGGTCAGTAATTTTTTACCAAAAATTTTGGCAAACTTAAAGTCTTTCAAACGGCTCAAGCAGTAGCCATCAGAATGAAGAAACCGGAGCTATGCGTACAAAAGAAATATCTTCAACCACTCTTCCTCCCTTGGCCAATATCAAGGCCAATTAATCAATAGTAATCTTAGTTATTGAATGACATAATTTGACTACGACCTTTCGTAGTCAGTCGTAATTGTCGCTGTTATCTTTATTCACAAATCTTCGTCTTACTATTATTGTTATTATTATTATTATTGTTATTATTATTATTATTATTATTATTATTATTATTATTACTATTGGTTAAATATCATTATTAATCTCCTCTATACATGATTCATTCACTTCTCATTTATCCCTCCTTATTACGTCTTACTAATTTTTCACACAATATAGCCTTCCACTAAACATTTGACCAAATTGTAATTGCACTACTACTTCCCTCACCCTATCGAACCCATATTTAATTCTGATCATGGATCTTAAATTTCACTTAACATATACGCAGATTCAAGTTAACACTCTATCTGAGTCATATCAACATTAACAATTTTATTGTATTTTGATTGAGATCATGAACTGATTGATGTTAGACCACCGTTGCTCACTAGTGACTTGCTTCGTGAGGGAATTCTCGGAGTTCTAGTGAGAAGCCGTGACCAGTGGAGCTAATCCGTGTCGGTTAGAGACAGGTATCTACCTCAGTACAATGGAAGATAGCCATGCAATCCGTGAAGTGGTTGATGTCAGACATTAACACCATCGGATGCCGGCTCAGTGGTCCATTAGCTTAAGAGTTCGCACGGGAAGTTGAAGGCCCTGGGTTCGAATTCCGCAAACGGGATCGTGGATGCGCGTGGCTGAGGAGTCCCACAACAGGACGAAACGGCCGTCCAGTGCCTCCAGGTTTCCAACGGTGGTCTATTATCAATCGGTTCATGATCTTAATAAAAAAACTTAATAATCTCCACAACCCCTATACTGTTTATTGTATTTTGTTTAACAATCCTAAATTTTGATTTTCTAAACAAATTGTTAGTTACTATATGAATTAGTTCTAATTAAATGAGAAACCATTAACAAGGAATTAGATCTTTAAACTCCTTGTTTACTTAAGGTTTATTAGGGAGACACCTGAATTCTATTGGAAAAAAAGATTAATAGTAAGACTGAAGCGAAGGAGAACACAGGTGAGGACAACCGAATTGTATTAAGCACCAAATTACAGAGTTAATTGGTAAAATAGAAAAACCATATAGCAAATCGTTAATTTGCAAAATATCTATCCATCATATCAACCTGGACTGTTCCTGTTGCAAACATTGTCTCACATTTCATTGTTCATGCGTTTTCTTACAAATTGCAATGTGTTCCCTCTCTTCATTTCTTGATCTTCTTCCATCTTCTGATGCCAGACATTATGTGTTTAACTCGCGTCATATACTACTTATGTCAATGTAAGTAGCACACATCACAAAACTTTTATCATTTTATGATGTAATCAGTAGTCTGAGGTGTTGTAATATATAAATTCAACATAATAACAATGATTATTATTGATTGACCAATTTGCGTTAATATTATTAGGTTGTGACTCGAGAAAGTCATCAGAAAACTTGACTTATATCTCGTGTTATTTGGAAATTTTTGGAAAGACATACTTGTATTCTTGAGAGAGCTGATGCTTTTTAATGAATTTGAAACAGAATTACCTAGCTTCTTAAACTTAATCCTTACTGGTAGGATTTTTGGACCTAATACGAACTTCTTTAAAAGTGGGAAGTTTATATTACTTGATAACTGAGTGGTAATCAATCAATCTTATATTTGTCTTGTTTTTTGGTATTGATTGAATTCTGCCGGTTGACGGTTCGAATACCATACAGGAAGTACCAATTCACTTAAGAATTCAGGTAGGTTTTGTTTGTGAGTACCAGCTAGCACATCACCTAGATTTGTAATTACCTTTCAACTACCTCCGATCATTTATTATCAAAACATGATGAATATGACCAAACTCTTTTGTTTAATGGAGTGAAGTTTCATACACATAGTTCCCTTTATCATTTTGAAAAGAGCAAGAACAAAGATTCTAACAGAATAGCATGAATTCATTTTATTTCGTAGGTTCTCGTCAGCTGCTTACAACCTGTGAAGTTTAATTTTTAGAGTCAGTCAATAAAAATTAATGTTTAGAAAAGAGAAAAGAAAAGAAGAAGTAACTTACAACATTTTGGTATATCACAATGTTGTATACCAGAAGAAACACCACGAACTTTAATTGGATAACACCATGGTTGGGATTTTACACCGCCTGGATTTCGACATGAACGAAAATTGTCAAGTTCATAATCGGAGGTGCTTAGTAATTTACTAGTTGTCTCATTATATTGTAGACGATATCGATAAATTGGTCCAATTTCTTTACGTGAATTACTAATTCTCCATTTTGCACAAGGCTAAAATGTAAATAGAATATATATATATATATATATAGATAGATAGATATAGATATATATATAAAGTTGGATATGTTTAGAAAATAAATTCAAGTCTTGTCTGTGATATAATATCTTGGATTAAGTTAGGTTTTTCGGTGTGACTATAAGTTATGGACGACCTTTAAGCGATGCTAGACGGACCTTGGGAGTGTCCACCTAATAACTAGGATCAAATGAAGGTTATAAACCGATGTGAGGAATTAGAATCATGATTTATAGTTGATGGTTAGAGTTAACAATTAGATTTACAGTTTTCATCATGAACTGACATCAGCTATAATGCGAAAACTCTATTTAACCAAATGAATGAGTGAATTTCGCGCCGAAATCTGAGACCTGATAACTTACGAGTAATTGTTTTGTTCATAAATTTTAGTTTCGCCAATTTTTCTTTTACAAAGTACACTCTGTGTACAAGCATAATTTATGTAAGCGAAAAAGTTTTGGAACTGTAATATAGTAAATATCAAACTTAACCATCATATGAATATGTAGTGACCTACTTTTACCAAGAGAACGCGATCGATTTAATGGAAACAACCATTATTATAACCAATTGTACCAGTGATTGTTTTACTGTGCTCGTTTGTTTAACTGTACTAAAGACAGCCATATTACTGCTCCATTATCTTTCGATTGTGATCTTGCACGGGTTAGGTTACGCTCGGTAACCACGCTTGTACTCCTTTGGCACGATCTCGGTATCCTTTCGATACCACGAGATCGCCAACAAATACATCTCGACTACAGCCATCAACTGCCCTCTGATGTTTGGCTTACAGGGGATCTTATCGGTTAACTGGCACGTAGTCTTCTTGTAGTGGTGCCCATATTCAATCGCGACTCGACTCTACGCTACAAATATATGAAACATTATTCGATGATTTCCTGTTAATAGTTTATAGTAATCTATTCATGTGTTGGAATGATTAATGACTAGCTTACACAATGGATTGATATTAATTGGATTACTATTTAAAATCAGAAAACATTGAGTTGCTATATTATTACTAATATGAGATTTTTCGGTAGTGTTCGTCTATCATCTTGACAACGATTGAACCTAGGATATTCAGTATTTCGACCACTGACTAACTTCTTGACCACTGAGCTAGCGTCCAACGATCTACATATTTGAATTTAATTAATTAGCGAAGTTATGTGCTTCTTTCTCATCACCTGAAGTGTTTGAATCTTACTAGTCAAGGTTGTTTTTCTTACTAGAACTCTTGGAATTGATTCTAGAAGTTAGTCACTATTGAGTACAAGATTATTGTTGGTGTATAGAGGTTTTACAGTTTACATCACTGATTAACCTTAGATCGTCAATAAAATATAATTTAATGTATGACATTGTACTTTAAACACAATGTCAAAATATTTTCAGAAGGGGTTTTGTGGAGATTTTAGAAATTTTACTGATTCAATTCATGAGTCAATTAAAGCTAGACCATCATGGAAAACTTGGAAGCACTGGACGGCCGTTTCGTCCTAGTATGGAGCTCCTCAGCAGTGTGCATCCACAATCCCGCACCCTGGGAGATTCGAACCCAGGACCCATCAGTCTCGCACCAGGCGGGATGAACACTGCTGAGGAGTTCCATACTAGGACGAAACTGCCGTCCAGTGCTTCCAGGTTTTCCATGATGGTCTAGCTTCAATTGACTCATGATTTCAATCAGTGAAATTGCCAAAACATTAAAAAATAATATTACCCAGCAACAAAATTTCACACAGATAATCGATTGGATTGAGATGAAAATTATTGATATGGATAAACTGTAGTTTGAATTGATCTAAGGTTACAGTATATCAAGATGATTATTATTGAAGCTATAGATTTCCAAATGAAGATATCGTATAGTATACATATATAGTGTCATTAACAAATAAGAAATCCCTCAATGCCTGTTTAATTTCAAATGAATTTTCAAAGATTCATAGTTTATATCATGAAATTAACTAATGGTGCTAACTCCCTGGTCTAAAGAATAAACTGTTATCATGAACGCTTATGGTTCAGAGTTAGATTGCTGGAGTGATCATGATTGTGAACATGTGAAAATATTCAAAGTTTGCGTTTCGCTAAATGATAACGAGATTGAGTGTGTGTGTGTGTGTATTATTCCTAATATTATTCAAATCAACTGAGTGAGTCGATACGTACGAATCTCGTTTTGCAATGAACGAGATGAACTCCTAACTGGATATCAAAATGCTGTTTGTTAAACATAAATGTAAAGAATTCAGTGTTTTATGGAGTTGAATTAAGCTAATTCGAGTAGACATCTTACAATTATTATTTTGTTGTTTAAATTTGACCCATCTAAGTTGGGTTAATGAAGCTGAATAATAAAACAAGCTCTTAATTGAAATTGATGTCTCAGAGATATATTTATTAAACCAAACTTGATTGTTTAAAAATTATTGATTAGTGGGTAGTGACCATTGTCATGTATGTCAAGTCCTTTCTAGTTGCAATGTGGTTACTAGTTTAATTGACTCGATATCGTATGCACTATGTTGAGATGTAAGGTGATGGTTGAAGTCAGATGACTGGAAACCCTGAATTTAGGTTTCATACTATATGGCACTTGTCAGCAAAGTATACCTGTGATCTTGAGAGAACTGATTCTCTCTGTTGGATTTGATCTCGTATAACTCAACTTTACAGTCAATCGAATTACCAATGAGTCGTGAAATCGGTCATTACTCAGTGATCAATCGATTGTAAGTACATCTCAGTCCTATAGGATAGAAAATATTTCAAAATTGTTCAGAATCTAGTTCAAAGTCATTCATAGAGTGTTGTTAAATTGTTATAGATATTCGTATATTTCTGGATTTTATTAGTTCTCTGTATAGTCTCTATTCGCCAGATAAAGTACTTTCCGACTGTTATCTGTTTAACATAACCTTTAGTATTTCATTATTTGGACGCACAGCATTCTAAGTTTTGCACAAAATACAGACTTTAATTTGATATCCACTGAAAACCAGGAGCCATTGAGTACCCCATTTTCTATTCTAGCATATAACTTCTAACTATTGAACATCGACAACTCCACCATAGACCTGACCTAAAACCTTCAGCGCTCGTAACTAATGTTTTAAATCCAGATCACTGGTTGATACTTATTGGCAATAAAAACCTAACTCGAATAATATAAAATATCAAATATCCAATGTTATTATTCTTTAGTAACCCCAAAAACAAATGTCATATGAAATATCATTTTCAACTTACTTGTCCATCAGATGTTTGATCTTGATCTCCATTATAATCTGCTCCATTCCCTTCATAACAACCAATATGTTCAGCTAAAATTGAATAAGGGAACAAACTCAATAAACTGATATTTCTCATCAACATTAACATATAAGAGTATAATAGTTAGTCTATGTATTTTGTTGAAAAAACAACTCAATAATTCAAGTGTGATACAAATATCACTCCTGCTGTAAGCCCTGAAGGTCCTAAGTTCGATCCTTGATAAGATCTTGAGAGGATAATGTAGCTGATTCTCATGAAATGACGAAATAGACAATTGACTGATTCCTGCTTTTTAATGGTTGTCTAACTAAATCCACTCAGTTATTTGATTCATGAAATCTACTTATTTGATGGTATAAATCTTGTTTGGTTCTTGCAGATATATTTAACGATTGATCAACTAATTGGTTAATTGATTTAATTCTTCAATGAAAATAAGGCGAAGAGTTATTGCTGTATGATGGCCTGGTATTCATAATTTGATGGTTGAGCGGCCGGACATATCATCAGGGAGAATAGACATAAAGTTTTGCTTCAATTAATCCTAATTCATCACACTATAATCTATTGATAGGCGGGTTTATCGCATTTTCGTCAGAATAAATTTGGATTGATGACGTTAAAATTAATCGCCTTATTGTAGATCCTTTTATTGTATGTACTGTCACATAATTCCTATTATTTGCCCCCGGAAACCCTCGAGGGTTACTGCAGGACCCAAACCGAGATAAAGGAGGAGGGTTGGTCATGAAGTTACCTACCCCATCTCTTAAAAAGATTTGCTAAAAACACTAAGCGGAGAAATCTTTCTAACAATTTAAACTTTGCCTCGGGATTTGAACGATCTTTACTTAGAAAAGTCATGAAGCCCCATGATAAGAGATGAGATTATTCAAAAATCATGAGGCTGATGCCCGTTGTGACAGTCAAAGCAACAATTAGATACATGGAATGTCTGGACAATGTGAGAGATCAGAAAAGTCATTCAAATGTTGGTGGTAATGACAGAATACAGCCTGGTTGCGCTTGAAATAAGTGAAACCCGTTGAACGCGAGCTGGACAGAAAGGACTAGCTTTGATAGGGATTATGTTGTTTTTCGGTCGCAAAGAATGAAATCCCTCAAACATAAAAGACATTTCCCTGATGCTGTTAAAACGAATACTGAAAGCCCCTACGGGATAGGAAAATCTTGGTCCTAGGGTCATCAAAGCATCCGTCAAAAAAGAAGGAAGGAGTTATATTGAATGTAACAGACTACTGGTTAAAGATTCATTCAACGTATAGACCAGCAGCCTTATAAAAGCCTAATACAGAATTAACATTCAAGATCAAAATCAGAGTTCTCAACACTAACGTCAAAATGTTTCTGTTGTAAGGATCTGAAACTTGGAGGACTTCTATAGCTAATACAAAAAATACAGGTATTTATAAACAATTATCTACATAAGATACTCAGTGTGTGTTAACCGGATACCATCAACAACAAACTACTGTGACAGAGAACAAACCAGTTTCTAATTGTAGAAGAGATTCGGAATAGAGGTTGAGAGTGGATAGGACGCATGTTGAGGAAATCGTCAAATTACATCACGAAACAAGCACTAACTTGGAATCCTGAAGGCAAAAGGAAGAGAGTTGGACCAAATACCACATTTCATTGGTAATTGGTGGTAGACATCGAAAGAATTAATATCAACTGGAAACAACTGGAAAGGAGAGCTTAGATCAGAGTTGGATGGAGATCCCTCATCGATGGTTTATGTACCATGAGGTGTCCCATACCTTAGTAAGTGACTGAGCCCTAATGTATTACTGTAAAATGTGGCAACTTGGGCCGATGCAGATAGATGCCAATGGCTATATTGTATATCATTGACTGATGACGAACTTCATGGCTGAAAATCAGTTAAGTTTTTTTATTCTAACCCGACTAGTAATGTTACGTTTACATTTTGAAACAATGGGTCAACCAAACATTAGCCAGATGGTATGTCCATGTGACAGGCCAAAATGTGGCTCACTTTTCTAAGGAAGGAAATACATTATATATATATATATATATATATATATATATATATATATATATATATATATATATATATAAATGGATATAGAGTTACTTCGGGATCCGATTGACCAATAAAACTATATTTTCATTCTTATTCTTTTTACTAATTATCTTGTTTAGGCTCAAGAATAGTAAGCTTGTTTATCAGCACAACACAACATATTTTTATTTGTCTTCAAATGTAGCCTGTTATTTCTTTTCATTTGAAGAGTAAATATACAGTTAACAATAAAGAACACAGTTTGATTGTCTTTTATTTCTCAATAAGCCAACACTTTTATTCTTTAAACATCATCTTCAACACTTCAGAATGTCCCTCGTGATATTCATGAAACTGACGTAACTTGAATATAAGCCCTATAGACTAGGGATTAACAAATAGACTGTTATGGATAATCAGATATAACTCATCAAATGTGGTAATGCTATTGTTGAGTTGATAACTCAGAAATGAAGATGTTAAGGAGCTTTCTTAGCTTTGACTTAGAAGATATTTTAAACTTAATGCGTAATAAAGCTTATTTTTGATAACAATTTTAATTAAGGAAATAATAGATCACATAGAATTACTCTTTTAATTGATACCTACTTAGTAACCAATACGATAACTTCAGGGATCATAAACTGATTTAAGTAAGACAACCATTGGAAGGCTGAAAGCATCCCTAGAACGAAATAAATGTTCAGTGCTTCAAGGCTTTCAATGGTTGCTTAAATTCATTCTGGTAAATGATAATAAAAATAACTACCAGGCATAATTTATAAATTTAGACTATAATTCATTAACAGTTTAGGTGTTGTGGAGATTGTTAAGTTTTTGATTGAAATCATGAGTCAGTTGAAGCTAGACCACCATGGAAAACCTGGAAGCACTGGACGGCAGTTTCGTCCTAGTATGGGACTCCTCAGCAGTGCGGGATCGTGGATGCGCACTGCTGAGGAGTCCCATACTAGGACGAAACTGCCGTCCAGTGCTTCCAGGTTTTCTATAATTGATTGGCTTGAGTAACTCATAATATTTTGCCTTGAACGTTTAAACCTATTCCGGAATCCATGAATTTATAGGTAATACTAATTAACACTATACTATAACCTTAAAGTAACACTTAGAAATAGATATAATTGTTCGAAGTTAAGCAATATCTGTCGAACATGATCTGTACAAGTTGTAGTAGGTACATGGGACGTTCGTACAATGTGGGTGACCGGGAGGACCAGTCAAATAGTTACGAAAGTGAGGAGATGCAACTTGACGGTGCTTGGAATAAGTGAAATCCTTTGCATCCAAGCTGAATAGAAAAGGACAGATTCTGGAGAGATGCTGCTGTACTCTGGTCACGAAGAAGAAAATGCTTCACACATTCAGGAAGTTGCTCTAAATCTGTCTAAAGAAGCATATAATGCACTTATGCGATGGGAATTTCACAGATGCAGGATCATCAAGGTATCCTTCAAAACAAAAAGGAGGGAAACACAATGAATATTATACAGTGTTATGCATCCACCGATGATAGCAATAAAGACGATAAAGATCAGTTTTACGAGTGGCTGCAGTCGACCATAACTATTGTGCTGGAAAAACTAAACGTCAAAGTCGGAATGGAAAACACCGGATATGAAGATATCATGGGACGACATGAACTGGAAGAAAGGAACATAAATAACGAGAGATTTGCATATTTATATCCATTCAACAAAATGGTTATAGGCGGTACAATATTCCCACAAAAACGCATACACAAAGATACATGAGTCTCACCAGACCACTCTACAGAGAACCAGATCGATCATATTTGCAATTGAAGAAGAGGTTCGGAATAGACGTTGAGAGTAGATAGGACGAACCTGTAAGCACTGGATGGCCGTTTTATCCTACTATGGGACTCCTCAGCTGTGCAAATTCACGATCCTCCACAAGTAATTCGAAACTAGGGCCGTCGGTCTTGCGCCGGCACTCGACCTCTAGACCACTGGGTTGGCATTCAGTCGTGTTAATGTTTAACTTCAATCAACCCACGAATTTGTGCGACCATCTTCCATTGTCTTTGGTGGGTACCTATCCCATACTTGGACGAAACAGCCGTCCACTGCTTCTAGGTTTTCAACGATGGTCTAACAATAATCAATTCATGATCTCAATAAAAAGGTACTTTTTTGAAAATGTATGATTTTCATTCCTTACCCAATCACTCTGTACATTATTGATTCATACATAGAGAATGTTTTTCCAATGTATGACTTACTTAAATGTATCAAATTTTTAAGGTTTTTATGAGTTTACCAATCTATTTTGGTCAATGACTTTTCTACTGGTATTGATTGAGGGCAGTCCTATATGACAGATCGTTAATTCCCAGTTGTTAATTTAGGAAAACTATCATTTTTGACGACTTTAAATGAAAACCTTTTAAAACCTCATTCATAGTCCTACCCAGATTATCAATATTGACTTTTTATAATTGCTTTAAGGATTCAACTGAGTATACCAGTTCATCATCGACCGGTACTCAGTGTCATTTACAATATTCTTCTGATGATGAACTGACTTTTATTGATAATGTCTAAAATGTAGATATTAGGCGAGTATTAAGCTCTAGTTATTCGACTAGAAGGTGCTGGGTAAAATCTTTAAAGAAATAGTAAATTTCCACCGTTAATTTGTCCCATACTGGTCAGCTACAACTGTCCATCGCTTCCTGATTTTCGGTGAGTGTCGAAATAAAATTAATTTCAATTCAGTCATAAATTCAAATACGGAGAAAAATGAAATTTAACATCATTTATAAATAAATTGACACTACATGTGATATCGGTTCATAAAGGTTAACATTCTAAATTAAGGAAATTTCTTTCAACATCAGTAATATGTTTCTAGGTAGATGTTTCGACTTCCTGGTTAGAGTTAAACATTAATACAGTTGGATGCCGGCCGGCTCAGTGGTCTAGAGGTTGAGCGTTTGCGCGCGAAACCGATAGGTCCTGGGTTCGAATCATAAGTTGTAAAATCATGGATGTGCATTGCTGAGGAGTCCCATACTAAGATGAAACGGCCATCTAGTACTTCCAGGTTTTCCATGACGGCCGAGCTTCAATTGACTCATGAATTCAACTATGAAATTCCTAGAATGTTTGTGAATTATTGAGTTCAAATTTAGTTACAAATATGAACGATAATTGTATTTTATTTCATAAATTTAGTAAATGATCAAAGTAAGAATTAGTCAATATTATGTATACATTAGTTCTTGAAGATCTTCAGAATTTCACTGATTACTCAAAAACCTTCTATTCAGATTTTGAGATTTCCTACTTTATTTATCTACAACTCATGTTTGTCTAGTATAGAAATACATAGTCATGGATTGATCTTATTTAGGATCTCATTAAAAGGCAGAAAGCATTAGATAGTTGATTCGTTCAAGTCGGAAGATCTTCAACAGTAGATACAGTTGTTACAAATTCCATTAGATGATCATCTTACTATAAATCTTAAATTAATTGAAGCTAAAAATATATGTCATTGAACAAATAACCCAGTAATTTTAATATTTCAACAATTGATGTGAGATCTTTGGGTCGTGATCAGTTGTAAAAATGGATTATACGGAGAGACTATAATTTATAGACGAACCAATCACGTATAAGATATCAGGTCTCGGATTTTGGCGCGAAATTCACTCATTCATTTGGCTAAATAGAGTTTTGGCATTATAGCTTTTTGTGAGTCCCGTTATTTAATCGTCATTTAGATCGGACGATGTTGTCGAAATGGCTCTCCATTTTAGTGGTCCAGAATTTGACACCAAGTAGATCGCATGAATGATTGTTATTGAATTGTATATGTCGCCTATCCTCGTATGTCTTTATAGACTTAATCCGCCTTCAGTGTATAACGGAATTAAATAAGTCAAATAACGAGAATGGACCTTTGAACACACATATAATTTGTATACGAAGCGAATGGAATAGGACGAAATGGAACGACGCGCAGTGGAGATGGCGGGTAAGCCAACTCCATTTAGTCAAGCGTTAATCAATATTTATAGTCACACAAAAATAAGTTACAGATATGTGATGAATAGGATAAGATGTGTACACACATTTATACACTCATATAAAAACAGTGAAGATTGAAAAGCGGATAATTAACAAGGTGAAAATATGACTCCAGTAGAATGAGTAGACTGGCTTGTCCGAAAACCAGAATAAGGTATATGGGCTTAACATTACAAGCTTATGTCAATTTGTGATGAAAACCGTAAATCTAATTTTTAACCCTTAACCATCAACTGTAAATCATAATTTCAATTTATAACCCTCATTTGATCCTAGTTATTAGGTGGACACCCTCAAGGTCACTTTAGTGTCTCTCATATGTCGTCCATAAATTACAGTCTCACTACAATAGTTATTTGAACAATTACATTAACGACTATCTCAGGGAAAAAATACATCGAGATGAATGTCAAATTTAATAGCTATCTAGTTGATGAAATCCTATGTAACCCCCCCCCTAAAATAAAGAAATTCCATGTTAAACATGAACATTTGAACTGTTCAATTCAAATAACACTTCGAAAACGGGTTAACAAAAGCATCTCCTTATTGTCTACATCATTATATACACAGATATATGGTTCCATATATTCATAATACTAAGGAAACTTATTAGCATAAACATAGGGATCTAGATATTTTTTTTTACTTATTTTAAAAGAAAAACAAAAGTATAACAAATCACTAACCACATCTTGGTACATCACAATATTTAAATCTTCCTAAACCAACAACACACCATGGACCAGAAGAATCATTTCCTGGATTACGACAATAATTTTTATGTTTTCTAGCTTCATCATCAGACCAATATGGTTTATAAAATGATTTATGATCTATCCAATCTAAACATTCTGTTCCATCAAATGCTATATTCACTTTGCCACGATAATTTCCAGAACGACATTTCATTGGATCATATATATTTAATTCATTTAATTCTGTTCTATCAATTGTTTGAATGAATTTAATACATAAAAAGCAATACAGAATAATGAACAATGAATAAAAGCATTTGTAATGATGATAATGATAATGATCAGTCATTTTGTGATCGGGATACTTTAAAGGAGCGATAAGTAGTTCCTCGTGTTTCTTGGATATATATATGTATATGCAATAGTATGCGAATATTTATGTGTATACACTTACCATAAAGATGATAGATGCTTAATGAATTCACCCTATTTGAAAAGTTTATAATTCTATATGAGCACACACATTTATTTGTATACATATGTGTATAGGTATATAGATATTAAATATATTTATCTCTCAAGGTTCATTATGATTCCAAGTGAATAATTGAATGTTCAAGTGGTACATCCGGTTTTCATTTGAAATGGTGAAGTATAGATATGTTTGTACAAACAAGTTTGTAAACACAGTGTATATATATATATATATATATATATATATATATATATATATATATATATATATATGGATTGACAGTGGAAGTATGGTTTAGACCTATTAATTATCACTATTATTACTACTACTTAAATGACTGTCACAAGTAGTAAAATAAATATAATCTATAATTTAGTGCAATTTTTATGATCAAATTATGTAATTTATAAATAAATTACTTTTTATATATTTATTATTAATAATTATTATCTAAAAATGATTGGCAGACATTCTATTATAGTCTATTGTCTATGCCAAAATCACATGAATTCAGTAATATATTTATGTATAAATCTATAAATGAACTTGTGGATAGAATGTATTTCTTTTGTCAGACAAATTAATAGTTTATGTTAATAGTTGAATTTATGAGTCAATTGAAACTAGACCACCATGGAGAACCTGGAAGCATTGGACGACTGTTTCATCCCAGTATAGGACTCCTCATTAGTGTACATTCACAATCTTGACTCGTCAGATTCAAACCCAGGATCTATCTTTCACTTGGTATTGTTTGGTTTGTATCTTCCCACTGAGGTTTAAGACTGCAATTGATCAATCTGTTATCGGTATATGTGCATACTGTGCGTATGCCTCGATATTGCTTTAATTCACAAGCTTTTTGTAAGCAATAATGGATAGTGGACAGCAGTGGAATCCAGGACGCGCGTTTCGTCCTACTGGGCCCCATCAGCTGGATGTCCCTTCAACTATCGGTTTCGCAGTAATGCTTAACCTCTAGACCACTGAGCCAGTCAGTATCCAACGGCCGTCCAGTACTTCCAGGCTTTTTATGGTGGTCTAACTTCAACTGACTTATGAATTCAATTATTAAATCGTTATAATATCCACAAAACCCTTCTCTGATTATCATATTTTAATGTCTATTCATTTAAAAGACCAGGTACTTTTTAATGTTTTTTGGTGATATTGATGGACTTTTTTGTGTTCTCTGAGTTGAATGTTTTGATTTGTGAAGCTTTCAACGTTCTTATAAACGACATCACTAGCTCAAACTTCAGGTGGATGTAAAATGTTTGAATTTCTCCACATATATATATGGCTTATGGCTTATCCTGTAGACCTCCTTATTGATTAGTTACTGTTGACCATAAACCTGATATTGTTTACTTCTTTATTTTGGTTTTTATCTCCTATTGGTTTGATTCTTTTTTGGGGGAGGGTTGATAATTTAACAATAAAAAATGTGAAAATATTGTTATTGTATTCACTTTTGAACATATTCACTAAGTGTTGTAGTAATTTTGTAGATAAAAGGGGGGTATATTATATAGGACAGTGAGATTTTGACTAGATTGTTCTTGAATATCCTTTTGTAGATCCTTCAAATTGTATAGTTGGTTTTCATTATAAGTGACAACTTCAACCTTACCTGTATTATCTGATAAATGATCGTGAATTACTTTAACCATTGACTAGATGTGTTATTGTGGTGTTTGAATGAACTAATGATACCTTTGTACTTGTTGAATGCTTGATTTCGAATTCCAAATACAATACATTCGTTCGTGCTTATCTAGTAATTCTTGATCCGATTACGTTATTTCTGTGATTCTTAGTTTATACTATAATTCAAATACTTTTAATCATTACATTGGCGTCTCGATTGAGCCTGTGATGGAACGGTTGGACATACATTCAGATTTTGATGCTTTTGAGGATTACTTTGAAAGGTTAGAAATTTGGGCTATGACTAAGAAAGATGAGGATGTTAATATTGTAGCACATTTCCTCACGTTCATCGGAAAAGAAGCATATAGCTTATTAAAAACTCTGTCTTTACCGGAAAAGCCCATTTCGCTTCCTTATACAGCTCTCAAGAATCTACTGCTAGACTATGTTAAGTATACAAATTTAGAATGTGGTAAAGGAGGAAGATTTTGTAAAATGATTCATGAGGATATAAAAAATTCTACTATATTACGTCACCCCAACCCAGTTCATACTCAAAGTTATGCAGATAATTCATTGAGGAGTTGCGATGCAGTTCAGGAAGATGGGCATAAGTTTGGTCAATGTTTGTCCTGTGGCAAGTTCCACTCTTTTAATTCATGTAAATTTCGTGATTCTAAATGCTTTAAATGTGGTGATGTTGGACATATTCAGTCAGCTTGTAATACTACTGTTCATCTTGCTGCAACGAATATTAAGTCTTGTAATTCTGATTCTATTAAGCTGAGTATTTATAGCGATCATTTATCTTTATCAACGATTTCAAAAAACAGTGTAGAATCGTATAGCAGTTCGGAGTTAAATGAAACTCAGAATTCCTGTGAGACAACAGATTCTAATCAATCAACTTATCATATTTCTCATGTTATCGTACCAGATATGGTTTTTCCTAATGATTCACTTATTTCTGACGAAATTCCTTGCAAATCTGAGGAAAATATGTTGAATGAACCTAGTCATGATAGAAAACCTGATGTAGTTTTGATAGATGCTGATTTTTTTAATGACCCATTACTGTGCAATGACATTCTTAAGAAATTTGAGGAAACTATTTCAGAAGAATCAAATCTTGATGTTCTATCAAATACTATTTGTCCTGATAATGCATTTGTTGCTTGTGGGAAACTTGTTCAATGCGAAGCACAAGTACTAAGTGAGCTCGAGTTTGTTTACAATTCGGATGATTTAATATCAACTGCTGTTTATCCTTGTCACGAAGTTACTTCTAATGCTTAATCTAGTCAATGTGGGAAATATGTTTTAAATGAAGTCACATCATTCATAATTTGGGGATATAAAGATCCAACATTATTTCGTAGGGGAGGATAGTGTTGGGAAATCTGTGCTTTAAATTCTAGATAGTGATTTCGGTACACAACCGACACGGCGATTGTATACAATCCCAGGACCCAGGTGAGTCTGTTCCGATTTCAGTCGTTAATTTCAATACTAATGAGCATATTCTAGATAATACAGAGTTTTTATCCAATACAATGTCGGACAGACACAGGCTGAACTTAAGAAGTCATACAATCGATTACAGACACTTAGATTCTAATTTAAGCTGTGGCGGATGTAGTGTTTGGATGAACTAATGATTCCTTTGTACTTGTTGAATGCTTGATTTCTAATTCTGAATACAGTACATTCGTTTGTAGTTATCTAGTACTTCTTGATCCGATTACGTTATTTCTGGGATTCTTAGTTCGTACTATAATTCAAGTACTCCTAATCATCATAGTTATCCATTTATGGTATCACTGATTTGTATATCTGTCTTTAAGTCATAATTCTTGTGTAAGAATTAGATATACTTTCCAGTCACCTAATATAATTTGAGTAGAGGATTTGATATGAACATGTAACTGAGTGATTGAGAGTTGGATACTTTAACCAGCATAGTAGCTCTACAATTATGGTATATTTATAGATATTAGTAGAATGTTCCAAGCCAATTTTCACTTACAACATAGTTTATTCTTAGCATGATCTAACAATCATATTTACTGTAATTATATTCTACAGTTAGAATTATTCTTTACAATCCAAAATGTTTTAATGTACTAAGTGAATAAATAAATGTTCGATGTTAATCATTCTAAACTTGTATCTATGACCAGATTTCATAAACCATCAATTGATTTGGTAACATGACTAATCAATGGGTCACATAAATCATCAATACATCATACCATTGAAATTCTAAATTGACCATCAGTTTATTAGAATTTTTGTATGTTGTTAGAAATCAGTCTAAAGTCATAGTTTCCATGGTACATGTTTTTCTAAAACAAACAGTAAGTTAATAACAACAAATGAAAATGATACAAATACAAGTAGGTTTCATAATGAATTCAGTAATAAAATTATGATTGGAATATAATTGTGTCTTCTGAAAAGCAATACTTTTTACCATTGTAGTGAATGAGAACACAATTGGGGGACAATTGAATGTTAGATAGTGGTTGGAGGTAGTTGACAGGAAACCCTGGACCCGGGTTTCGTGCTACTTGGCACTCGTCAGCAAGGTGTACCTGTAGTCTTGCGAGAACTAATACTCCCTGATGGATTCGATCTCGTGTCACCCAGCATTCGATCTGCACTAATAATAAGGATTAGACACGCATGACATTGATCGGCACCCAGTGATCAATCAATTGTGACAATAGAATGTGTTTGAACACAACATTACAGCATATCTTAGTAAAATCTGAGAATCAGACAGTAAATAGTTCATTTGCAAAATGTTCATTGATTGTTTCATATGTGACTGTTCCTTTTGTGAAATATCAGTGAATCGTCTCGGACTTTATTGTTCCTGCATTGTCATACTTATTGGTTTTTGTTCCCTTTCTTTTCTTCTCGATCATCTGCTTCCAGACATTCTAATCCTGACTGTTGTTGTACACTATTCATGTCGATATAAGTAGCGTACAGCATACCATAACCAGAATGATATAACGGAAAAAGCAAAAAAATCAGTTGGATTACATTAGAGCTCATGTGATTCGGCCGTTCAATTATCAATTATTTAGTTTATACTGCCAGAAGAATCGATGACCCTCTATTTACGAACCATTGAATAACAAACAAATTCCTAAACCTCAGTGCTTCACAAGCTCCTTCTAACTCATGTTCTAGATAGAAGATGAAGATAGTAAGCAGATTCATACTCTATGGCACTATTCAATTATAACATGAAACTTATATAATAATAGATCTGAAATGTTTTATAGCAGCTCACGTGCAATCGAGTTTGTTCACATTTAATTTGGTTAAGCCCTTTTGTTGAAATACTTAACGGTCCTAATCATTCTTACAATGACAACTTATATCATTGTACCTTTATTATTGTTGCACTTGTATTAATATGTATGCTTGAGCATCGCTTACTGCCTACGCATATATTCATTCTGTTAGCCTTCATGTTAGTCGCTTAATTGATTCGATGATTTATTCATTTCACTATGTATATATATGTA